GGGGGCAATCAAAAACCCCCCCACTTTTTTTGCCGGGGGGGGGGGGGGGGTCTGGACACCCCAAGCACGAGCGCCACCTCTTTGGGGGGCGGGGGGGGCATGTGTACTATGGCAGAAGGTACCTGTCTGGGACCAAGTGAAAACCTGAGCGCTAGCTGAAACGCCCCTGAAACTCATCGCGCAACCATGGTAGAACACAGTTTTGTCCCTTTTTGTGTTTTTTTCTTCGCGATACCCGATACCCTACGGGTGCGCTCCCGGAGGCAAGGCAAGGGCAGGTCATTAACTAATGAGTTTTGGAAATAGTTATCAGTTTCAAAACCCCAAAAAGTTAACTACTTGAGTTTCAAAACATGTAGTTAACTACCAGTTAACTAGGTCCTCTCAATATGGATGGCTTAAGGGAGTTCTTGTGTTCGGCGTTTTGCGCCTGCGGACAGCTGCGGTATGCTCACCCCGGCCGACTCTCAAACAAGGGGTTGTCGACGCGATTGCAGAGCAAAAAGGCAAATTTCACTCACAGTTTATCGGAGTCCATCATAAGAACGGCATTATAGGCGAGAGACAGGCAAACGCTGGTTGAAAAGCGAGCAGTTTGAGCTCGTCACGAGCGTCCCAAACCCTATATGATTTTGATTAGAAGGTGATTTGGATGATCGAAAAGGGTAGTTAACGGGCAGTAACAGTTTCAAAACTGGTAGCTATGTAATTACTTGGGTTTCAAAACTGCTTGTTAGTGGTTGTTAATCCAGTTAACTAGTTAACTAGTTCTTCCATGCCCTGGCCTTGCCCGGAGCGGAGGGTCGGGAAAACTTTTCAGACAACCCTCCGGTCGTGATGATCTTCTGTCCTCCCCGAAACGTCTATTTCGCCGACGCCCTGCGGGCGGCGAGAGATTCTCGATTTTTGCCCACTACTCAGTCATGACCTGATCTTAGAACCATCGCTCTCCCACTTGTAGGGTTATTTTGGGTAGCAATGTGATGTGGTCGCGGCCAGTGCATGCACACACTAAGGGATCTCGTACTGGCGCCTGCCCAGCAGGATGGATTCAAACGAGACCCTCAAGCCCACATACGGTGCGCAATCGCGTGATTTGCTTGCGGCACGTCTCCTGAAAGAAGGAGCATGCGCGAAAACGAGGTTGCTGGCAGACCTGCACATACTGGCGCACATCACTCGCATACAGGCATCCTACCACGTGGCGACAGAATCTCTTGTCCTTGAAAAAGGAATCGTAACTCGGAAACGTGCCAGCAACATGTAACGCGTGCAGGTCAGAGTAGTCAATGTGCTGCGAACAGCCGGACAATGTTGCTGCTTCTTGGATGAAACTTCGGTACTGGGGTACCACACTGTTCTTGGCACGCGACGAGTGTTGCATGTCCTTTGCAATCATTGCCTCGTGGTCGCCTAGCCTGTAAGGATCCAGCTGCTCCACGAATTGCGCAAGAGGGGGACACGATTGCTCTGACGCCTCAGGGGCGATCATTTCGAGGGGGATGACCAGCATATGTTTCATTCCTATGTAGTCGGACTGAGGGAGCATGTGCCCATCTCCAGGATACGTGTTGTTAGATGCTGCAAATCGTGTCAAAGCGTTGACATACTCATAGAATGTTGCACTTCCCTCGACCGATGGATGGCGCTCTCCCAAGCAACCCTGTCGATCTAGACCACGCCCAACACATGCAGTCGCCAGCTCGTCGCTCCGATTAGCCCATGAGGTCTTCAGATGTGTGCCCATAACATGCATGAAGGACGAAACGGCGCGGTCCAACGGGTTGCGCACGAGTCCAATGCACTGAATCGGATGGGCGCATGCCTCCCTGACGTCTTGCGGGGTCGTTAGGATAGGGTGGGCAGGTGGGCGCACCACAGCTGCGCTCCTAACCATCTCGTCAGCCTCGGCTTTATCACCGCGGAAGACGCGAGCAACGTGGAGATCTGAGCCCGCCCTGCCCTCGCTCAGTGCTTACCCCTCCTTTCCAGTGTCTCCCCCCCCTGCCCTCTGCCTGAGGGAGGGTGTATTAGAGGATGTAGGAGTGTAGAGCGCTGTAGAGCTGTAGAGATGTAGAGCGCTGGAGAGCGCTGTAGAGCTGTAGAGCTCTACATCCGGCGCGGGACAGAGCGATGCAGATGTAGAGCGATGTAGAGGCGCTCTACAACGTGAAATCTCTACAACAAACTCTACATCATAAGCGGCGAACGAGGCACGGTCGCTCTCCGACATGAGGCGCGTTGCACTTGCCAGTGCTGCCCTGGCCTTCTGTCTGCCCGCCCAATGGGTGGCAGGTGCCTCTGCTGCTGTGGCATGCCTCACGGCTGCGACTGGCCGGCGCCTCGGCGCGTCAGCTCGGCTCGGCGTAGCGATCGTGGCCAGCGCAACTCGCCTGGACTCAACGCTCAGGGCTCAGCCAGAGGAGCTCCCGCACGCGCTGGCGCGAGGCATGGCGCATGCAACGCGCAGCAATGCTCGCCTCGCCTCGCGCAAATGCGACCGTCCTCGCAGCCGACAGTCCACCGCCTGCTAAAGTGTAAAGAAGCACTGCGACGAATGCGGCACCGGCGACGCATGGCAGGCTGGTCATGACGCAGTCATAGGGTGTTGTGTGCCGTCAGAGTGACTCTCTGTGTGTCAGGGATAGTCAGGGCCGTCCATCAGAGCTCCAGCAAGCTCGGAGACACCCCACTAGTGCGGCTCGACCTCTTTGAGTCACTGCCTTCCCGGCGGGTTTGCTGTAGAGCCTCTACAACAAACTCTACCTACGTACCCCAGGGAACCTAGGCACCTAGCCAAACAAAGTTCTCACTTTCTTTGGCACTGGTGCGTAGGGAGTAGTTCACAGCCAAAGCCCAACTTATCTTTGGCATGGCCTAGTTCACAGCCGAAGTCCAACTTTGGCTCTCCAGGCACCAGGCACATGCGGAGCACGAGAAGTGTATCTTCCCTCTACTCTTGGTCTCTCTCTGCGACGATAAACTGGACAGCAGGCGCGCAAGAGACAGAAAGCCAGGGAACAAAGAGGAGGCAAGTAGGGGGGTGGCTCGTAACTGAGGTTCGCCTTCAGAGACAGCCGCCTCCCCATGTGCCGTCTAGTGCCGAACTTAAGGTAAGGTAGCTTGAGTTAGGGAGCTCTTTTCCTCTTACCAAACTCCTGTTCTAATGTACCTAACTCCTGCTACCCACCTCTCGGTCCAGCCGGACCGGCAGCGGCACACGGGCCCCGCGGCCCGCAGCGCACCACTGAGGGTGGCATCTCCCTCCTACGCTACCCGCACCTACGCTCGAGTACGAGTACCTACGCTAATAAATGCCCTACTCCTCCTCCTCGTCCCCGCTAAGGTGAGCAGCGCAGCAGCAATGCACACCAGCGGATAGAGCGCCGGGACACGTCAGCGCCGGCGAGGGGCCCGTCGGGACCAAAAACGAAATCCCGCGTGCCTAACTGCTGCTACCCCGTACCTAACTCAGTGCAAAGCACCTAACCTAACTCAAGCTACTTTACCTTAAGTTCGGCACTTCACGGTGGTGATTGTTGTTCATAACGATATCCCTACAACCACGATCGATGCGAGGACGCAAGTCCACCAAACTCGGCCATTCCAACGGCCAGACCGCTCGCTTAAGGCTGATTGGCTAGACGAGCGGTCTACCTCCGACAGGGCGGTCCGACAGCGCGTGTGGATCCGGCCCGCCCCGGCGGGTTACGTACGGTTTAGCGCGCCGACAGACCGCCCTCTCCATCACCCTCGCCCAGGGATCTACAATGCTGTCTTAAGGTCCGACAGGTTCGGCACCGGGCACCGCCTCGGTATACAAAATGCGCCTGCGGGCGGACCCTTACAGATCACAGATCACAGTATCTCCAGGAGATACATGCAGATGCGGCCGTCCGCTCGTGAGACATCCGCGTCCCGCCGTTATGTCTCTCACCGCTGTAGCTCAGTGACCGCAACGATCTTCTGATGAACGCACGCGACCTGCTCAGCGGTGCGTGCGGCGGCGGCCTGGCCGTCTTGATCTCGCAGCCCATCGATGTCGTGCGAGTGCAGCTCCAGACAATGCCGGGGAGCAGTAGTGCCGTCGCCACGGCACGCACGCTCGTGCAGCAGCGCGGCATCCTCTCTCTGTGGCGCGGCACAACGCCGCCTCTGCTCGGAGCCGGCCTCCTCATGAGTGTGTTTCGCACCACGCAGCAATCGACAAGCCGCGTATTTGGAGAGGACGGTAGCTTTGTCAAGTTTGCAGCGGCCGGCGCGATCGGCGGCTTGGCTCAGGCGCCCCTCGCGGTGCCCGTCGAACACCTCAAGGTGAGGCTGCAGGTGTGCCAAGCCCAGTGGTGCAGCTGCGGCATCGTTCCCCTCGCGAGGCACATTGTGAGCGTGGCTGGCGTCGGTGCTCTCTGGAGAGGGTGGGCGCCGACAGTGATGCGAGACGTGGTGAGCACGCCGTCCCCTCGCAGCCGACGCGTGACGCGCCTTTCCTCACCAGCCCATCGTCCCCTCGCCGGCGCAGATTGGATTCGGCCTGTTCTTTGGCTGCACCGACTACGTGCTCGCTCGCACCTCCCCCACCGGCCGGCGCGGCGACGCCAGCTTTGTCGCGAGCTTCGCCGCCGGCTGCGGTCTGGGTTGGACCTTCTGGGTGGCGTCCTTCCCGCTCGACGTCATCAAGGCGCGGCTGCAGGGCGACTCGCTGCTCAAGCCAGCCTACACGGGCGTGCTCGACTGCCTGCGGCAGACTGTGCGCGCGGGCGGCGTGGGGACGCTGTTCAACGGCTTTGCGCTGACCGCCATCGGGTTTGCGACGCCAAAGAATGGGGCCAAGCTGCTCGGCTTCGACCTGGTGTCGCGCTGCCTCCCGGTGTGATGGGTGGTGTCGCGCTGGCTCCCGGTGTGATGGAGGCGCTGCTGCGTCCGGTTGGAGGCGCTTCACCCTCTGCGTCCTCTCCGTCACGGAGACGCTGCTGCGTTTTCTCATTCGTGTCGCAAACTGCCCGTGCCCGCGCCAGTCCCAGCGTCACATGTCACATGAGTTTTCTCCGTTTCTCTTCTTCTGCGGCGCTCTTTCTCGCGTGGCAGCCGCGGGGGCGGTGAAGGGGTCCCATGCAGTCGCTGGATGGGGCCACACTGTCATATGTCCCGCCTCTCGGGGTACGGCGCCCTCGGTGTAAAGCGCGTACGCGGTACGGCCAGGTTTCCAACTTTTTCCGGGGTATGGTATGGTAGCCTCGCGGCCCAAAGGGTGGGGGGTATGGTCCTGACCGCCCATCCCCGGTCTCCGGGAGGCTGGGTCTGTCAGCAGGCGGGGGGTATGGTCTCGAGGTGGGTTGCGCGTCGCACCATACCATACCCCGCAGAAAGTCCAAACCGCTGGGCCTAACGCAGCGAGCCGTCTTATTACCAGGTTGCAACCGTAGTCTCGCACTGTGCTGTGAACGCTGCTGGTTGGCGTCGGCTGCGCAACACCGCCCGTCCCCATCCAGGTTGTTGGTTGCTGCCCCAGGTCCTGCACTATGTAGTGCAATGCCCCGTTCCCTGGTCATGCTTGTTCGGGTACGAATACGTGTTTCGTCCGTCCCTGCCTGTGTCCGTCCACGGGGGCGCCTGCTGCCGGGCCCCTGGCGGCCCGCCACGTAGGTGCGACGTGCCGCCGAAAATCGCATCAAACGACGTTCACAGCTCTTCGGCTCGCTCCGCTCGCCGGCCGCCCCCCGCGAGTTGGTTGCTGGCAGCACCCCAGCACCGGGTCCTGATAGCTGCTGGTTGCCGCTCTGTTCGCAGTGTGTGTTGTGTGTATGTCGCTCGCCCTCCAAGGCTCCTCCCGCCGCGCGGTGGAGGCCATGGTTGGCGGCTCTCTCGCCGTCGCTGCCGGCGCGCTCGTGCTGCGCGCGAAACGTGCCGCTCGCTGCCTGAGCGCCGCGACGGCGGCCGTCGAGCCTCCGCCCGAGTCGCTCACCGGGTACAGGGCGGCGGTTTTCAGCCTGAGACCGTCCAGCTTCGGCCATCCCGCCGGCGAGGCCGACGCCCGCGCCATGGCCGACGCCCGGCTCGTCATCGTCGGCGAGATCCACTCGATACCTCCGTGCGTCGAGCTGCAGTGCCGTGCCGCGCTGGCCATGCTCGCGTCGCTCGAGGCGGGCGGGCGCTTGCACGTCGTGCTCGAGCACCTCAACTTTGAGCAGCAGCCGCTGCTCGACGCGTACGCCGCAGGCACGCTCGAGATGGCAGCGCTGCTGGAGCAGTACAGCTTGGGCACGGAGGGGCACGACCTCGCGCCGTATGAGCCGCTGCTCCGCCTCGGGCGCGATCACGGCGCGCTGCAGCTCCACGCGGGCTTCATCCCGCGCAGCTACGCCAAGATTGTCATGCGCGAGTCCAAGGAGGCGGCCATCGAGGCGGCCAGGGCCCAGGGCTACCTCGCCAAAGGCGAGACGCTCGACGGCACCGAGGAGCACTACTCGTTCTTCGAGTCGCTGCTCACGCATCGGCCGCTGCACGCGCAGCCGCCGCTCCCGCCGACGGACAAGTTCCGCCGCATGTTCCCCGCGCAGCTCATCAAAGACGCCGCGATGGCGCACAAGGTGAGCCGGCTGCTCGCTCCGCAGGGCGAAGGCGGGGCGGACAAGGCGCTCGTCGTGTGCGGCGTCGGCCACTCGGGCTACTCGCACGGCGTGCCGGAGCGGATCGAGCGCGCGCTGCCGTGGCTCGCCGGCCGCTCCTTCCGCGTGTGGTGCCTGCAGGTGCCGCCGCCGCCCCTGCTCGACCGCCCGCCTCGCACAGTCCGCGACGCGTGTCCGCTGCGCGTCCCGCAGGCGCACGAGTCCGCCGACCTGCGCGGCGCGGAGCCGGTGCGCGAACTGCTCACCGACGCGTTTGGGGAGTCCGCCTTTGCGGCCGACGTCGCCTCGCGGCCGGCGGAGCTCTGCCTCGCCTTTTCCGAGGCTCCGCCGCCGCCGCCGCCGCCGCCCGCCGCCGAGGGCGGCGACGAGGCGGCCAAGGCGGCGACGGCGGCGGCGTACAACGCCGTCGGCAGCACGGCACACCTGTCTGGGGACGGGCTCAAGGCGAGCCTGGTGATGAGGCGGCTCGGGTACACGCCAGAGCAGGTTGCGTGCGCGGGCGCAGACGCGCCCAACTTCCAGGGCGTCGCGTCGCCGCACACCTTCGCCGCGCTGCAGCCGGGCGAGGCTGTGGTGGACCTCGGGTCCGGCCTCGGCGTCGACTCCTTCATCGCGGCTGCGGCCGTCGGAGAGGCGGGGCGCGTCACCGGCGTCGACATCGCCGCGTCCGAGGTGCGGCACGCCACTGCGCGAGCGCGCGAGCGCAGCCTCGACGGGCGCGTCAGCTTCGTCGTCGGCGACCTCGAGCGGCTCCCGCTGCCCGCGGCCTCGGCCGACGCCGTCATCTCCAACGGCGCGTTTTGCCTCGCTCCGAACAAGCCGAAGGCCTTCGCAGAGGTGTGGCGCGTGCTGCGCCCGGGCGGCCGGTTCGCGATCGCAACCTCTGTCGTGCTGCGCCCGCTCGAGGAGGGGAAGTGGCCGCTCTGCATGCGCATGTTCTCCGAGCTGAGCTCGCTGCAGCCGATCGCGACCAAGGCCGGCTTCGCGCGCGTCGCCATCGACACGTCCGACATGGCGATGGCCTTCGAGCTGGAGGCGCCCGAGGGGGAGGCGCCCGAGTCGTGGGCGTCGTCGGCGTCGAAGCAGCGCAACCAGGTGCACGTCGGCAGCGCCGAGTTCTCGCACCTGCAGGAGCTCGACATGAACTCCATCTGCGGGCGAGTCGTCATCAGCGGGGTCAAGCCGTGAGCGTGTGAAAGCGTGGGACGCACGTAGACGTGTGATGCAGTGAGAGTGCTGCTCGGGGGGGCGTTATTCTGTGCATGTGTTCGAATTATTTTTCTGTGTGCCGGTGTTCACTAGTCCGCGCCACAATGCACAAATAAAAAAGGTCCGACAGGTTCGGCACCGGGCACCGCCTCGGTATACAAAATGCGCCTGCGGGCGGACCCTTACAGATCACAGATCACAAAAAAGCAAGAGAATTACTAGCGTTAGCCGTGTCCGTTTTTCCGTGGCATTGTGGCGCGCGCGGATGTCAGAGATCACGCTGAGCGACAGCCTCTCGTGGTCGGCGCAAAGCTGGCCAGGCTTCGACGCCGTCCCCGCCGAGGACGGCAGCTACACCTTTGTCACCCCTCCACTGACCACTAGCTGCCTTATCGACGCCTGTCTGGATCGGGAGGCGTGCGTCATCCAGGCCGCCGCGCGAGGCAGGGCGGCGAGGGGGGCGGCGCAGCGCCGCGAACAGCAGGCCCACGCATGGCACAAAAGCGCTCGCTTCGCAACCGCTCTCGCGGGTGCTGGGACCGTCCTCGCTGTTATCCTCGCCGGCAGAATGGTCCAAACGAGCGTGCCCGCTTCGGCTCCTCCCTTGCTCCCACCGGCGCCCCCGCCATGCATGCTACTGCTGCCGCCTGACTACGACGCGGTCGACAAAGATGGCGTAGCGATATCTGTCACCTCTAAATTGCTCTCGCACCTATGGGCATGCGTGGCCGCTCTCCTCTTTGCCATTGCCTGGTGTGCGAGCAGTGAGACCGCGATGGAGCCACCTGTGGCAGGCAGTGGCCTTGCATCCGACGGCAGCAGTGGCCTTGCAACCGACAGCAGCTCGGCCGAGACAAAGGCGTTTGTGGCAGACAAGGGCGCTGGAGGGCGTCGCGGCCGAACCAAGTCGGCGATCCTGCCGGAGATTGGCGCGGCGCATGCGGGTGCCTTCCCCACTCCACGCGTCGTGCCGCCAGCGGCCGGCTGCGCGACGCGGGAATCGATCCTCCGGAGCGCACACCTTGCGGCGAGCACTGCGGGGATAGCTGCGCTCTCCTACCCCGCCTTCCGGGCGCACTGCAAAGGGCGCCGCGCTCACGCCGCAGTCAATGGAGGCAGGTGATGCTCAGAGCTAACGACAGCGCATGTCTGTGAATAGGAGCGGCGTGAGCCGTAAGTGTGAGTCGGCGCTGTGGCGCGAGTACAAGGATGCCACGTTGGACGAGAAGCTGCGGCGCGGACGCGGAGCGAGATGCTAGCGAGCCTTGGGATTTCTGAGGCAAGCCTCTGAGGCAAGCCTCAGCAATACCCCCCGGTCGGATTCGCCTTCTCCCCTCCCGGACCCGGTGATGTCTATTGTCGTAGTGAAGACTACAGCGGTTGAGAGAGAGAGAGAGATTTTAGAAAACTCTCTTCCAGCGGTTGCGAATCCTCATTACAGGAGGGAGATCCAACACGCCCCCCACCCTTGCCCGTCGTTTCAACCTGAAGGCCCGATTGCCGCGAGGATGCGGAGCAAAGAAAGAAAGAAAGAAAACAGACAACCCAAGGGAGGGATGGGGAGCAGAAAGAAAGAAAGAAAGAAAACAGCCAAGCCAAACGAGGGATGGGACGAGGACAGGGTCCCCACCTGCACGAGCAGGATTTTGGAAGAACGATGGGGAGCAGAAAGAAAGAAAGAAAGAAAACAGACACGCCAAACGAGGGATGGGACGAGGACAAGGTCCCCACCTGCACGAGCAGGATTTTGGAAGAACGATGGGGAGCAGAAAGAAAGAAAGAAAGAAAACAGACACGCCAAACGAGGGATGGGACGAGGACAAGGTCCCCACCTGCACGCGAGCAGGATTTTGGAAGCAGTCCATCAATTCGCCGTGAGAATTCTTTTGCTTGAGTGTGTCTTACTCGGCGGAGCGGCCTGCAGCTTTGTGCTTCATGTTGCTGCTAGTGGTCGGCTCGGCGCACGGCTTTTCGGTCGCAGGCCCATCGGCTTCGACTCGGCATCGACGCCTGCGCTCGCCGCTCCTCTCCGCTCCGGCCTCGCAGCTTTGCACCGCAGAGGAAACGGTGGACGGCACGCAGCCGCTTGCGAGAATTTCGGTGTGCCAGTACGACCACCTGCACTTTTTCGTCGACAAGCTGCAGCCACTCTCGCACTACAAGGCCATCGAGGACCGGCTGAATGAGTTTGCAAAAGTCAACGCGACCGGCTCCGCCGATGACGTGGGCGCCGCACGCGAGGCGTGGCTCGCGTTGGGCCCATCCGCGGACCCGGCGGCGTTCCAGGTGCACGGCCGCGACCTGGTGGAGCAGATGCTGTATGCCTTTGGCTGGCGCATCACCGCACAGCACGAGGGCCGCGAGACGCGCTCGCTCCTCCTCTCGACAGTCGACCCGCACGGCGCGCGGTTCGTCGTGACGTGCCGCAGCGAGGCTGGCGGCGCCGGCACAGGGCCTTCGCCCACATGCGCCGCGGAGCCGGACCACTTTGCCCGCTCGCACCTCGAGAGGCACATGTCGTCGCACGGCGGCGCGCAGGGGGTCGGCGTGCTCGGCTTCGAGGTGGAGCGGGGCGAGCTGGAGGCTGTGGTCGGGCGGTACGAGGCGCTGCACCCGAAGCTGGTCGCCGGCCCGCCCCTCCTCCACCCGGACGGCACGCGCGTCTTCGAGGCCTTCACCCTCGTCGCCGGGCGAGCCCTCGCCCAGACGGCCCCTTCCCTGACCCTTCTCGGACCCTTCCCGCAGGCCTTCGCCTACTACCAAGGTGAGCCCGGCTCGGAGCCCGACGTCGGCACACGGCTCCGATTTGTGGAGCGGCCAAGCGAGGCGGAGGGTGCGGCGGAGGGTGCGGCGGAGGGCGGGGAGGGCGGGGCGGCTCTCCCGCTGCCCGGGCTCGAGCCGGTGGCTGCTGCCTTCGAGGCGGACGCCGCTCCGGCGTACTGCGACCACTGGGCGAGATGAGGGCCTCGGCCGGCTGGCTGGTCGAGGGGAGGCAGCACCGCCGACCGCCGCGAGCGCGCGCGAGTAGGTGAGCAACGTGCGGTCGCGCGTCGGCTTCCTGCGCACGCTCGAGGAGACGCTCGGCTTCACGCCAAAGGCGGGGGCCTCTCCTGGCAGGCGTGGCGCTGCTCGGGCTCCTTGCCTCGACCCTCCTCGCAGCCCTTGCCGCAGGTCGACTTCAACGCGGGCGTGGTCGCGGCGGGCGAGGCCCAGATCGAGTCCACCGTCACGGGCAACACCTCGCCCCTCCTCACCGCCGACCCGCAGGTGCGGGGTGGTGGCCGGCCCCGCGCCGCGAGGAGACACGTCCAGGACGCGTCCGCGCCTCGTCCCCGCAGGCGGTGCTCACCGACCGCGCCCAAGTCTTTCTGCCGACCAACAACGCGCTGAGCCCGGTGGGGCACGTGCACTGGTACCTCGAGGAGATCGGGCAGGGCGTGCAGCACGTCGCGTCGCGCGTCGCCTCGCTGCCCGCCTACGTGCAGCGCGCCAACCGGATGCGCGCCGTCACCGGCGAGGGAGTCACCTTCCTCAACATCCCGCGCACGTACTACGGGCTGCTCGAGCCGGAGTCGCTCGTGAGCGTCGACACGGAGCTGCGGCGCGACGGCTGCCCCTCCGGCCTCGCCGAGCCGCTCGCGCTTGAGCTCGTCGCCGCGTTGCGCGCCGCAGGCCCTCCTCGCGCCACGCATGTGGGGCGAGCTGCAGGGGGCACTGTCCGTGACACGTCCACGCCCGTGCCCCGCACAGGCCTCCTCGACGCGGCGGGCGCGCTCAGCCTCGACGCCGACGCGGCGGCCATCGACGCGGCGCTTGGCGGCGTGGTTGGCTACCGTGACGCACCGGCGGCGACGCGGGAGATGGTTGGGCGAGTGGTGTGCCGCAGCGTGTACGTCAACCTGTGGAAGCTGCTCGGGCCTCAGCTCTCCGAGGCGACCTACCTGAGCATCGTGCGCAACCAGATTCTGATCGACGTGCAGGGTGAAGTCGGGTGGGGTGGGCGCGGGGGCGGGCGCGGGGGGCTCGGCAGCTCACGCGCGCCTGCCCCGAGCAGGCGAGGACGTGCTGCTGCAGATCTTCACGAGCGTGGTGCTGCAGCGAGAGCCCGGCACCGAGGCGCCCTTCCTCGAGTTCATACAGCGCGTCTGCGCAGAGTGCAGCGGCGCGGGCGGCGCGCCCCAGCCGATCCGCCCCGGCTGCGGCGGCTTCGGGATCCGCAACTTTTTGACCCTCTTCCTCTCCATCGAGGTGTGGCGGCGGCCGCCTCTCTCCCTCGCGAGGCTGGCTCCCGGCGCGCCGACGACCGAACCCCCTCTGCGCTCCTTCGCCCGCAGGTGAGCAAGGCGATGCTCGACAGCGAGCGGGCGGCCGAGCAGGGGCGCGACGCGGAGGCGGCCTTCCACCAGCGGCGCGTGAGGCTCTTCACCGACCAGCTCGTCGAGGCCAACCCGGTCCTCACAGAGATCTCCGACTGCATGACGGCCGAGGGGAGGGCCCTCGACGCGGGCGATGCGGACGCGGCGGCGGAGTGGGGGCGGCGCAAGGACAGAGCAAACCTCGCGCTGGCCGAGTGCTCGCAAAAGTACAATCGGCTGATGGGCGAGTTGCGAGAGGAGGGGTGGGGCGACTCCGACAGCGCGGCGTAGGCTCTTGTGCTTCCAGTAGATCAATGATGGCTCGTCTTTCCGTTGCGGGGTGTGTGGAAAGACCTAAATATCTTTCCCATCGAGATAGTCGCCGGTTAGTCGACACACGACACAGCGGAGCTCCACGCACACGCAGATCGCAGTCACACAAACAAAAACTGCTCACTCCACACTCGTGGAGAGGAGCGTGCGTCTGTGCGAGTGGGAGGCGGGAATAGGTCGAAAGAGATAGTCGGGAAAATGAGCGTATCCTCGAAACACAATAACTCACATCATATTCACATAACTTGTGCACACCCACACGCGTCGTTACAGTATGTGCCGGCTAGGAGTCCGAGTGCCTTGCGGCAATGCACAAGGAGTAACCTCCACGATCTCGCGAGACCATCGCCCCCGGTAAAGAGCACTCCTAACTGCGCGAGTCCGCACACGCTAGGCAAGGGACCGGCCGCCGCTGATTTTCTCCCTCTGCACACCTGCTCGCAATACCTCCAACACGTGCAAGCTCTGCCGGTACGCAGAGGAAGTTGCGGCAGCCCTTGTTTCCGCAGGTCTCGCGCACCTCGTGCATCGTGTAGTTGAAGCTGTGAATGAAGAGCTTCAGCTGCCGGAAGGCGCGCCTCTCGCTAGGTTTATCACTAGGGAAGGCCTCCGCCGTGAACAAGGGGCGAGTCTGCGAAAGGGTGCGCTGCATACCGCGAAGGATGCTCAGCTCGTGGCCCTCTGCATCAAAGTGGGCGAACGCCAGCGCTTGCCCGCGCTCGAGCAGCAGACTGTCCACGGAATGTGCCGTGATGTTGTTACGCCTGCGTCCGAACGTTGGCTGCAGGTCCGACCCAGTCACTTGAGAGAGCACGCCGGCGCGAAACTCGCGGCCGAGCGGATACGAGAGCGCGCCGCTGCTCTCGGACAGCACTCCCCGTAGAATGACTGCGTTTTGAAGCCCGGCGGTCAGCTCGAGAGCGCGCTTCACATTCACACGTGTGGGCTCTACGCCCACGACCGTGTGCCGCCGAAACTCACGAGCCAGCATCGCAGTGCTCGATCCGTCGTTGGCTCCCGCGTCGAGGATCATGCCCGATGGTGGCATGTACGCCGATAGCAGTCGGATGCACTCCCACAGCAGTGGTTCGAGCCCGCTCATAGAGGTAGCGGTTGTTGGCTCGTTGGCCAGGGCGCCCGGCGCCCGGGGGGTTGGCCAACAGAGAGGTGAAAAAAGAATTTTAAACCGAGCCCCCTCGCACAACACTGGGCACGGGACTGGCGCGCACTGGCACTAACACAGGTGAAAAGAATTTGGGGCCAATTCTTTCCGCCGCCGCGCCCACGCTTCCCTAACCTGGCCCCTGATCTGCGCAGACGGGAGACGGCGCGCTCTGCCGCAGACAGAGCAGCGGCCGCCCAGGCGGTCGCTGCTCCGCCCGTCCGAATCCGTCCGTCCGCGCGTGCCGCTGCCGCCGCCACCGCCGCTCCACCCGGTCCCCGTGTGTCGTGAGAGTAATGCTTTGTGCAGATGGCAGTGATGGCACCGGCGTGTGTGTGAATTGTCACTTGAGCCTCTATCTAGTGGTTAGTGATTTTTTAAAGAAAGAAAGAAAACAGACAACCCAGGCAGGGATGGGAGGACGGCACGCCGCCACCACACAGGGATTTAAGGAGAGGGGTGTGATGCGCTAGCCGTCGCCCACCCTTGGGCGTCCGCCTCTTCCTATCTCTCTTCGCAGTCTCTCGCCGATTCTCGCTGCAACCTTCATGCCACCTCGCGGTCGTCCCACTCTCTTCGTTCTCTCTCTTGAGTCTTGTCGCTTCTTCCTCTGTCGCGTCGCTCTCCTCTGCCTCGTTCTGCGACGGCGCCGCCGCCTGCCGCTCCCTTGCTCTCGCTTCTTCTCCCGCCTTTCGTCGCAGCTCTGCCCTCCTCGCGGCATATTTTGGCCCCCCTCGCGAGTTTATCGAGCTCTCCTCGCGCAAGACGACTCTTCTGACGCCCACTCCGATCATTTGCCGCCAAGTCATGTCGTTGCTCAGCCAGCTCAGGTCCACTCTCTCTTCGAACACTTGTACCTCCACAGATGATGTTGGCGCTGGGGTCCCCTTCGGGTGCCTCGTGACAGCTGAGAGACGACGGGATTACCACTGGTGTTTCGTCCTCCTCGGAAACTTCTTCCCCGGCTTCCTCCCGTTCGGCTCTACGTTCAGCACGTTCAGCGTGGCTCACCCTCCATGCCTTGAACAGGCGCGTTATCCATCCTATATTCTTCTCTCTCTCCTCTGCCCGTGCCTTGGTCTTGTCGTTGTTTCGCACCCATGTCTGTATGGCAATCGAGGCTGCCTTCCCCACTACCTGTAGTTCTCTCGTCACCTCTCCTGCGAGCTCCCCTCTCTTTCTTTCGGGTATGGAGTCCGTGAGTGCGGGCAGCGTGCAGGCAATCACGGGCGCTATTTTGTCGTACTCCTCTTCGGCGAGCGCTCCAAATCTAGACCCCATTGCCTTTAAGGAGGCTGCCCTCGCTCGTCTCAGGAATATAGCTTTGTCTTTTGAGTCAGGCGCCGCCCGTTCGACTCTTGCTGTCGCCCTCGCCGTGTGTTTGTCAAGCTTCCGCATGAAGTAACGCGCCTCTTGGAGCACTTGGAGTGCAGTTGGTAGCCTCACATCCAGGGCCGGGGAGCTAAGAAGCACACCCAGCGGGCCGGATGATCGGGATCGGGTTACGAGATAGAGAGCCCTCTAGCCCTGGGGGGTGCGCGTTCGCAGGGCCATAACACGGGTCTCCGAGGGTTGGTTCTGCGCTTTGGCGTTTGGGTTTCCCCTAGCTGCGGAACGCCCCCTCTACTCGGAGCTAGTAAGCACGTAATACGGGAATACTCTCCTTAGCCCCGCGTGTACCAGGTTTCCCCTTAACTGCAGCACGCCCCCTCTACTCGGAGCTAGTGATACGGGAATACGTACCGCCCCCACGGAATACTGTACTCGAAGATAACACGAGAATGCACACACGCCTATAAGAAACAGCGAGGTAAAGTTCGGCGGCTATGATAAACCGAAATTCCTCTTCTTTATTTCCAGCCGCATTTGCCGCTCAGTAGGTGCGCCAACGACGCCTGTGGTGGCTCACTGTCTTCTTGTGTCCAATCGTCCCAGTCTCTCCGTTCCCCGATTCTCCTCCTTGCCTCGCGCGCCTCTTTTGCGGCCTCATCCCTAGCCGCCTTGCACGCTCTGCATCCCCAAAACGCACTCGTGGCGGGGCCCCTGATTCAGTGCTGGCGATTTACTGGTAAATGAGTGGTATTTACCACTTATTTGATTCTCCTAGGGAGTGGTATGGTATGGGCAGAGAGTGGTATGGTAAATTACGAAACTCCGTGGAATCATCAAATTTTCGGGATCTGAGCCGAGTCTGAGGCTGGTTTGCGGCCAAATTCAGCCAAATTGGCAAAATACCGGGTATTTTGCGGGTATACCTGGGAAAACCCGGGTATACCTGGAAAATACCGGGTATTTTGCCGATTTTCCCGATTTTTGTCAGATTTTGCCTCAGAAGTCGTGGTAAATCTTACCACGCGCACCATTTGATTGTTTTGGCCGTAGAGTGTTTGATTGTTCTGGGGGCTACACCAGTAAATCGCCAGCACTGCCCTGATTCCCCGTTTCTTTTCCCCCTCTAGAATACGCCTGTGGTGTGCCCCGTGTGCCACCCCGACCTGTTGTCTCACCCTGGCCCCCAAGATCGTTTTGGTCGTCACGTTGTGACCCCCGACGTCGTCAAATGTCGCTCGTCTGTCCTTCCCCCCATTCTCATCTGGCAATCTCATCTTATTGTCCCATCGGTGTTTGAGGCTGGCTACGGCCACCTTCGCTCCACAGCCGTCCCCGCCACCCCTGCCGTGTGTGATCCCGGCCTCACTGTCTTTCGGAATTGTTCGCACACCCACTCGTCCTTGCGTGGCAAAAGAAAGAAAGAAAATAGCCACCCAAGGCAGGGATGGGAGGACGGCACGCCGCCACCACACAGAGATTTTAAGGAGAGGGGTGTGATGCGCTAGCCGTCGCCCACCCTTGGGCGTCCGCCTCTTCCTATCTCTCTTCGCAGTCTCTCGCCGCTTCTCACTGCAACCTTCATGCCACCTCGCGGTCGTCCCACTCTCGTCGTTCTCTCTCTTGTCGCTTCTTCCTCTGTCGCGTCGCTCTCCTCTGCCTCGTTCTGCGACGGCGCCGCCGCCTGCCGCTCCCTTGCTCTCGCTTCTTCTCCCGCCTTTCGGCGCAACTCTGCCCTCCTCGCGGCATATTTTGGCCCCTCGCGAGTTTATCGAGCTCTCCTCGCGCAAGGACGACTCTTCTGCGTGAAAAAGAAAGAAAGAAAGGAAACGGACACGAAAAGAAAGAAAACAGACAACCCAAGGGAGGGATGGGAGGACGGCAACGGACACGCCGAGAGTGAGTGCGCCGATAAAATTCTTTGCGCAGTCCCGCACGTGCGCGGCGAGTGTCGCCAAGCGGGCATTTGCGCGGCTCCCGCACGGTCACTCGATGCCGTCTGCCAGGGACGTCAACAGAGCCTGGCCGCTCGGTACGGCCTGCGAGTTCAAGTGGGGTGACAAGTGGCACCGCGCCATCTCGAATGGCGTCGTCGGCGGTCGCCTCGAGTTGAAGGAGGTGCGCGAGCGAGCAGTGACGCCGCTGCCGCTGCAGGAGGCTGCACGCTCCGTTGTGGCCAAGGGCACGCACCTTGAGTGGACGCTCAAGGATGAGCGCAAGATTGGAGCGCCGGTGGCGGCGAAGCGGGAGCTAGCGCCCGTGCCTTCCGAGCCGGTGAAGGCAGCCAAGCGTGAGCCGCCAGCGGAGACCAGCGCCTCGGACGCGCAGCCCGAGGGCAGCTCGCACGCGCAGCCCGAGGCCGGCTCGCGCAAGCAGCCGAAAGCCAGCTCGCGCAAGCAGCCTGCTCCAGAGGTCAGCGAGTCCGCACCCAAGCGGGCGCGCAAGCAGCCCGCGGCAGCTCCTCCGGCTTCGCGCCCGGCGTGCATCAGCCTGCTGACTGGCCGCCCGCTGGCGCCCAGCGACGCAGAGTTGCGGGTGTGGGAGTCGCCAGCTGGTGGCAAAGCTGCCGCGCTCCGCGGGCGGGAGCTCGACTGCCTCCGCCTCATCGGCTCTGTCCACCTCTCCTTCGAGGTCAAGCCCGACGCGCCCGGGAACCTGGCCGAGGCGCTCGGCGTCCACAGCGAGAAGCCGCGCATGCGCCGCCCGCGAAAGAGGTGGTACACCGCGAAGAGAAACTGCAGCAGCGCGGACCTGCCCTACGTGAGCACCGAGCCGTGGTGCGAGCTGACGGGAGAGCTGGCGGGGCGCGGGACGGTCTCGGTCAACCAGCTGATCGAGCTCGTTGTCGGCGGCCAGCTGGTTCCCGACCTGCTGCCCGGCGGCGCCGACGACGACTGCCGCGACCCCATGGCGGTGCTCGACGCGCTGCAGTACTTGCTCAAGCCCGACACCTCGCCGTTGGGCTACGGCTGCCCGCTACTGCACGCGGCGATCGAGCCGCCCGCCTCGCTCGGCGCGGTGAGCAGCGCAAAGGCTCGCGGCAAGCAGGCGCAGGGCTGCAGCCAGCGGCTCAAGCTGTCGTGCGACGTCTACGCGACGCGCCTGCTCTTCTGCTGGACCGCATGCGGCCAGTTCCAGACGCTGCTCCAGCACTTGCGAGGCAGCGCCATCGTGTCGCTGGACGCGCTTCCCTCGCACCCGCCGGCCTTCTACTCGGTCGGCGGCGCGGCCGCCGGGCCCTTCACGCTGCAGGGCGTGCTCAAGAGCTGCGAACACACCGGGTACCGCGCGGCGGAGCAGCCGGCCGGCATCAAGATGAGGCTCAAGCTGTACCAGGCGCACGCCCTCGCTTGGATGCTCGACATGGAGGACCGCGCCAAGCTGCCGCGAGGGCTCAACGGGCTCTTCTGGCAGGAGCGCGCGTTTGGCGACGGCCGCGGCTCCTACCACTACTCCCCCGCGCTCGCCGAGCTGCGGCTGGAGGCGCCGCCCCTTATGTGGGGCGGGCTGCTCTGCGAGGAGATGGGGCTGGGCAAGACGCTCGAGGTTGCGTCGCTCGTCGTCGCGTCGCTGCCCAGCCTGCCGCGCGAGGCGGCGGCTGGCAAGGCCGCGTCGCGCGCCACGCTGATCATCGTTCCGCCCGCGCTACTCTCGCAGTGGCTGGTCGAGCTCGCAAAGGCGCGCGGCGCGCGCCGCCCCCCCCCGCATTGCTCTCTCCGCCCGCTGAAACGCCCGCTGCCGCTTTCTGCCGAGGACAGGCGACCGACTCGCTGTCCGTGCTCAAGCTCGACGAGGAGCGCGCGCTCACTGCGAAGGCGGCGGAGCTCGCGAGGCACGATGTGGTGCTCACGACGTACCAGCAGCTGCTCCAGAGCAAACCGCTGCTGGCGGCGGTGGCGTGGGCGCGCGTCGTGCTCGACGAGATGCAGGAGGTAGCGCAGGCCACCTCGGAGCTGGCGGTGTCGTGCGAGGCGCTGCACGCGCCGCGCAGGTGGATGGTGAGTGGCACGCCGCTCAGCAGCTCCATCGACGACCTCAAGGGCGAGCTGGCGTTCCTCCGGATCACGCCGTTGTGCGCCGCGCCCCGCCTTCGGTCTGCCTTGTGCGGTAGTGGCGGCGACCTCTCCTCACCGCCCCTCCCTCCCTCCGGCAGCGGCGCCAACCACGAGGACGGCTTCTGGGAGCACAACATCGGCAGGCCGTACAAGCAGCAGGAGGAGAGCGCGCTCGACGCTCTTCGCGTGCTCCTGCGCGCGCTCATGATGCGCCACTCAAAAAGCGGGCAGCGCGTGCTCGGCAGCGGTGCCGCGCTGCTCGACTTGCCGCCGCGGAGCGACGAAGTGGTGGCGGTGCCGCTCGAGAGCTCGCAGCTGGCTGTGTACGCGTACCTCGAGGCGCTCGTGACGCAGCATTTGCGCCAGAGCCGCGCGCTGCGCACGATGGGCGACGCCCACTCGAGGCAGGAGCGCGCGCGCAGCCAGAACCTCGTCAGCAAGGGCTTGCGGCTGCTCAACGAGGCTTGCCTCTCGACATCGCTGATAGCGGGCGGCGACGGCTGCTCGTCGCAGCTCCCGGACATCAACGACATCGAACGCGAGCTCCAGCTGAGCGAGAGCGACCAGCAAGGCGCCACGCTGCGCAGCGGCAACGCCCTCGCGCCGCTCGACCTCGATGGTTTCGACGACCAGATGAAGCGGATGACGCCAGATCGGGCGATCCGGTTCCTCGACAGTCTGGGCGGAGGTGATGGCGGAGGCAGGATGAACACCGCCGAGGAGCTTTCCACGACACGGAACGACTTTGAGCTCAAGCTGCAGCGGCGCGCCTCGTACACGAGCGACGTGGCGCGCTTGCGGTGGCACTTGGCGCTCGAGCGCATCACGGCCGGGGCCCGCATCGTGGACGACCGCCCGTGGCCGCTGCAAGGCGTTCGGCTTCTCTGGCTGCTGCGCGGCGTCCAGCGGTACTATGCCAAGGAGAGGCTGAAGGTGCTGGTGCCGCCTTCGGGCACCCCCAGCCGCGAGGAGATGGTCACCTACAACCTGCAGCGGACGTACTGGGACCGCATCAAGGAGGGGAAGACGCCCGCCGCGCTCGCGGCGCGCCTCCGCGCTGCCGTGGGCAAGCAGCGGCTGACTCTTCTCGAGCAGTTTGCTCGGTCGAGTGCGGTGTCGGCGCTCGGCTCAGGCGCGGCCAAGGCGGTCCGGGGACTGGAGGCGAAGCTGGAGCTGGTCGTGCCCGGGCGGGGAGGGTGCGAGGTGCTGAGCTTCAAGGCAAAGGCGCCCTTTCGGCGAGGAGGGTGCCAGGTCCTGCGCGTCAAGACAGGTGACGGCGAGCAGCAGCGCATGTACACGGCCAAGGAGCTGGTGACTCAGGTCATCGAGGCCCTGAAGCAGGCGACGGCTGTCGGCGGTGGCGGCGACGGTGGCGACGACGACGACGACGACGACGACGACGACGAGGCGGAGGAGGGAAGCCAAAGAAAGCGACTACTGCGGGCTGCCCGGGCGGCGCTGCACGACCTGATCGAGCTGCGGTGCGGCGGCGGGACGCCCGTGGGTTGGCGACCGACGCCCGCCCTGCTTGCGACTTTGCGGAGCGCGCATCCGGAATGGCTTTGGCTGAAGGACGCTGCGGTGGTTGTGCGTGGGCCGCGCCTGCGGCACGGGTGGCTCGAGGCCGCCGCCATTTGCGGGACGGTCGACATCGCGCGCTCGTTCTCGAGCTGCCTGAGCGCGCTCCCCTCCGCCGAGGGCGGCGCGGCTCCCTCCTTCGCAGTCTCGCTGCTCGAGCTGCCGCCCGCGCTGCGGCCCGGCGCCCAGCGCCCGAACCCCTTCCAGACGCCGCGAGAGCGCCACCGAAAGGCGCAATCGGGCCGCGGGGCGGAGAGACATGCCCACGACATGCCCATGATATGCCCGTGACACGTCCCGTAGGCGCAGCAGCCAGCCGAGGGCGACATTGGCGCGCAGCTCACGTGGCAGGGCTTCGAGGCGCACGAGGGCACCGCCGCCTTTGTCGTGGACCTCGGCTCGGCAGACCGCGTGCGCCAGCTGCTCAAGACGACGCGCGAGCACAAGCACGGCGATTTGCCGTACGTCAAGATGCTTCCAAAGGAGGCGGCGCTTGTGGAGGCGCCGCTGCGGCGCGAGGCCGGTGCAGTGGTGCCGCTGGCGGCCGACGGCTTGGACGCGAGCCTGGCGGAGGTGAAGCGCCTCGAGCAGCTCATCAAGGCCACTGAGGAGCTCGAGAGGCTGCAGCGCGGCCGCCAGGCTTTTTACGCGAACTGCGGCAGGCTCGAGAAGGAGAAGGAGGAGCGCAAAAAGGCGGAGAAGGAGCTTCCCGACGGCGAGAGGCTCGTGCTGGAGCCGCTGCACCGTCCTGACGGCGCGCCGCCCGTCGAGGCACCGCCGCCCGTCGAGGCACCGGCGGAGCAGGAGGAGGAGGGCAGCGTGGCGCAGATCATCGTGCTAGCCGGCACGCGCTTCCCCGGCCGGCAGAGCGCCGTCAAACTGACGAACTGGCCGGCGCGCATCAGCAAGGCGGACCTGGCAGCGAGCTTTCACGCCTTTCTCGAGAAGCACTGCGGCTGCAAATCGCCCAAAGTGAGCGTGACGTGTCCGGAGCACGGCGTGGCATGCGTCGACGTGGGCGACGCGCCCCTCGCAGCGAAGCTGCTTCAGGAGGCCAAGAAGGTCAGCGTCGTGTCGCTCGGCGAGACGGACGCGCGGGCGCTGGCGCGGGCGGAGGCGGCTGTGGCGCGTCTGCGCCGCGCTAGCGACGTGCAGCTGAGTGAGACCAAGGTGCGCCAGCTTAAGCGTGAGCTGGCTAAAGGAAAGCAGCGCAAGGTGCGGCCGCTGCGGCTCATGCTCTCCATGGCAAAGGCGCGCGCTGTTGGCGTGCCGTCCCGCCTCGCCAGCATCGAGACGCCGTCGCTGCAGGACGAGAGACGCCTCTATCCGGAAGGCCGGAGCACGCTTGGCGCCACCTTCGAGGCGTGCGACGCGGCGCTGCGCTCTGTCGGCGAGCGGTGGAGCACGTCCGACCTGCCCTCGGCCAACCGCAAGGAGCTCAAGCGCTTGCTCGACGAGAAGGCGGCGACGGAGGGCGAGCTGGCAAAGCTCAGGCCGTTCCTCAGGACGCTGGTCAACGCGGCGAGCAGCAAGCCGCTAGAGTTTGTTCTCGACACGTATGCCGTGCTGGCGGCGTTGGGGGACGAGAAGCGGCTCGAGCAGCTCGAGCCGCAATGCCCCATCTGCCTCGGCCCGCTCGGCGAGCAGGCCGACTCGTCCGGCCGCCCTGGCGGCATCGCGCTGAACGCTTGCGCGCACCTCTTTTGCAAGGCGCCCGCTGCCACCGCTTCCAGCACCCTCGCCGCTCTCGCCTTGCTCTTTGACACCTCCCGCGCCTCGCCCAGGTCTGCATCGAGCGCTACCTCGACGCCAGCCTGGCCCGCAACGGCACGCAGGCGCCGACGTGCCCTACCTGCCGCAAGCCGATCGGACAAAACACGCTGATCGAGGTGGTGCCGGCGCAAGCGGCGGGCCCCAGCAGCAGCAGTGACCCCGGCGGCAGCGGCGGCGGCGGCGGCGGAGAGGGCCAGCTCTGCGCAGAGGGCCAGTTCAAGTACTCTATCGCGTATGCCCGCGGCGCCTACCGCGGGATCGAGCCGACCGACCTCGCGCGCCCGACGCCTCCGCGCAACGCGCGCTCTGTGGAGCGTGAGGCACTCGCCCACATGGCGGCCGCCGTCGGGCGCCGACCTCTCGAGTGGGCTCCGCCCTCTGTGCCTCGAGGTCACCCGAGATTGAGCGAGGCGTGTAGGCGCCCAGCCGGGTCGACGCGCACCGAGCACGGCACGGTGCTGGGCGCCAAGGTGCGCCGGCTCCTCGTCGACTTGCGCGCGCTCGGCGAGGACAAGGCGGTCGTCTTCTCGGCGAGCAAGGCGGTGGTGGAGCACCTCGAGCTGGTGCTGGCGCGAGAGGGGCTGCCGCGCGTCGCGCTCAAGAAGGGCGACAAGGAGCGGCACCTGGCGAGCGCCGTCGACCGGTGGACGCGCGGCGAGTTCCGGGTCCTCCTGCTGCACGCCGACGCCGCGGCCGCCGGGCTGACGCTCACCGCCGCGGCGCACGTCTTCTTGATGGAGCCGTTCTACGATCGAGGCAAGGAGCTGCAGGCGCTCAACCGGTGCCACCGCATCGGGCAGAGCCGCGACGTGGTCTGCAAGACGTACTACTGCCCCAACACCGTCGAGGAGCGCTTGCTCGCGTGGCGCGAGCTCGAGGGGGTGCGCGCGCCTGAGCTCGGAGCTGAGCAGCAGCAGGGCGGCGAGGCGGAGGCGGTCAGCGTCGTGCCGCGCGAGAAGCCCCTCAAGGCCATCGGCACGGAAGAAAGCCGCTTCCTCTTTGGCATGAAGAGCAGCGCCGGGGAGGCGGGCGGTGCGTAGGGAAGAGTCTGCTGCGAGAGCATGCCCGAGAGACGCTCGTGTCTTGTCAGAGTCTCGCGCGACCGCGAGACGAGACCCCACTTGTTCGATACGGGTTTGTACGCACAATAGTCAACACTGCGGGAAAATGATAATAAACACGTCTCCATTTTCCCCAATACCTGTGCACGGGGACAAATAATAAAAAAGAACAGAGGCTGGACAAAATATCACGCAATCACCGCTTCGGCGAGAGAAACATCGCCGCGGTCGCCTCAACCGCCCGCGCCGCGATCGCCGCCCGCACCACACGCGGGTGCTCTCGCCGATCGCCCGGCGGCGGCGACGGCGGCGCTCCGCACCATCCGCCGCCCTTGGCGCGCAGCCAGCAAGGTCCTGTCCCGGCGGCGAGGCAGCTGCCGCGGCAGAGTTCCCACGCGACCGTCGTCGGCTGGGCCCCCGGCGGCGGCGAATATGTCACCCCCTTCGCCGCCTCCTGCGCCACTACGCCGCCGAGCGTGGTGCGGCCGAGCCAGCCGTCGCAGAGCTGCTCTGGCGACAGATGCGACGATGCTGCCGCCGCCGCGAGGAGGGCCGCGCAGGAGAGGGGAGCGCCGTTGAACGTCCCAAAGCTGGGCGCGTCGACGCAGCTCGGCGCGGGCGGTGGGTCGTAGCTCTCCGTCGGGCACGGCGCGCCGAGCCCGGCAAAAGTCGCGACGGCGTTGAGGAGGTCGGCGATCGCGAAGCCGGCAGCCCTCTCCTGCGCGCCGAACGGGAGCGAGCAGTTCATGCCCGCGAGTCCCGAACCCTCTCCTACGGCGGAGGTCATGGCGAAGGAGACGCCGAGCTGCAAGTCCGTGAAGTAGTGCGCCAGCTCCGAGCCCGAGCCGTAGTCGAACCCGCTGTGGCCGAGCGCCCACCCGAGTGTGCCGCAGACGACGGAAGGGGTCGCTGCCGCGGAGCCGTTCGGTAGCCTCTCCCAACGCCCCTCGAGGCCGAGCCCGTACGCGAGGCCGAAGGCGCCAAAGCCGTCGGTGAGCGGGTGGAAAGTCGTCATCTGCGCCACCGACGCCGGCGAGAGCAGCGCGTCGCGCCCGCCGCTGTACGCCGCGTGCGTGAATCGGGCCACGTCCCGGGGAGCCGCGCCGATGTTCCCGCCCGTGAACGAGTTGAGGCAAGAGTGGTTCGAGATCTCGAGGAAGCGGCCGCGGCCAGCCGCAGGCCCCGTGTACTGCCTCGCCACGCCGCGGTACGAGAGGCAAGTGCCCCGGCCGAAGAAACGGGTCGCGTCGTCGGCAGGCAAGCGATCGCCCCACGCGAGGGCGCGCTGGTCGAGGTCGGCCCAGTCGGCGAGGCCGAGGGCGCCTGTGCACAGAGAGGAGGTGTGAGGAGACGCCGTCTTGCGCAGGCGAAGCCGGGCCCAGTCGCTGAGGCCGCCCGCGAGGGCGAGGCCGACGAGCGCGAAGCCGTTCGTCGAGTACGCGCCTATGGGAGGCGGCGCGGGCATGTCGCGAGTATGTCCGTGGACGTGGCTCGCGCCGCTGGTCGAGTGAGCGCCGCGCTGCACGGTGCTGCCCGCGCCGGGAGCGCCGGCGGGGACGGTGGTCGTTCCTCCGGGCGGAAAGAGGAAGGCGTGGTCCTGGTGGAGGAGGAACTCGAGCGGCTCCACGTCGCGCGTCGAGCCCATCACCTGCCTGTACAGCCTACTCACAGTACACGCGGCGTACAGACACCCAGACGAGAGAGTCAAGAGGGAGATACACTGACAGGAGAGCGTCTGTGCGCGCGCTGAACAGAGACTGGGGCCCGAAAGGCTGTCACAACCCGAGTGTGAGCGTGTGCAAGGAGCGGCGAGCGACCAGTTTGTGCGGTCGTCGTAGTAGTCCTTGAGGCCAGCACGCATCGAGAGGAGGTGGCGGTAGGTGACCGCCTCGATGGCGGCCTCGCCGTCCCAGAGCTGTCGCAGCGTCGCCTTTGCCGGGACGCCCGCGGTTGCGTTTGCCCAGCAGTGCAGGAACCGAAGGCAGTACGAGCAGGTGGCGCGGCGCTCCCTGCTCACGCCGGCGCACAGCGGGCCTGGCCGCGTGAGGCAGTGCGCCACAGGCACGCACGTCGGCACGCACATGCTCGGCGCCCTCTCGCACGGCTGCGGCAGCGCCAGATATCTGTCGACATGGGGTGCGATGGGCTCATCCAGCGAGATGGTGCCCTGTTCGGCGAGGCGAAGCGCGGCCACCGCGGTGAACTGTTTCGTTGTCGAGCCCATCGGGATGCGTGTGGCGTTGGTGAGCCATGTGCCTGCGGCGTAGTCGTTCTTCCCAGCTGCGACAGCGACGTCCACACTCGAGTTGTAGACGGCAAACGACATCGAGGCGTTCCAAAAGGCGCTGTGGCGATCCACGATGGCCTGCAGCTCGGAGCGCAGCGACGCAAGCTCCGACGCAGAGATGGAGAGGGACACAAGGGCGAGAAAAGGTACCATCGCTTCAGACTTTTTGTCGATCGCAACAGCGCGTGGTTGTTTCGCGTTGGCAAATCAAGAAACCGCTCTTTGCCGAGGGGAAGGGTGCACCCTCCCTTGGGGTGTCTGTTTTCTTTCTTTCTTTTTGGGTGCTAGTATGAGCCCGACCCAGGTCGTAGTGTTGTTGCTCCCAGCGCTTGCGCTTCGGCGGTTAGTGGTGCACTAACCTCCGAGAAACCCTTCGGGTCGCTCCTCATCGCAAACCCTGTCAGCAGAGTCTCCTACGGGAATGTACGTAAGAGCTACAAACACTGAAAAACAAAAACACGAGTTCGACGCGCCGGCACTTTCCCGGGCTCGCAGTCGCTACACAGCTAGCATGCTCCTCCACGCGTCCAGCCAGCGTAAGAAGCTGCACCCGCTCTCCCGTGCCTGCGTCGATCTGGGAGATGGGATGCTGGACGAGCTTATCGGAGAGGTGGCGCGTGCGTGCTCGCCGCCGCCTCCGCCTCCGCCGCACGCAGAGCTGCTAGAGGGCGTGAGCGAAGCCGAACAGAGGCTTTCCGCTCCACGGCTCTCGTCCCTCCTCGAGGTCGAGGCGGAGCTAACCGACCGTTCTGCAGCGCGGATGCGTGCCGCGCTGGCCGCCTCGAGCCACGCGCTCTCAAAGCCGAGCAAGCCCGGCGCGTCGGAGGCGCGTCCGTCCTGCTTGCTGCCAGGCTGGTGCCGGTGCGGGCGACTGACCGCCGGCGGATCCCTCTAGGCGGTGCCCTGCCCCAACTGCGGCTCTCAGGTGTCGGCGCCGCGCTTTGCAAAGCACCTGCAGGCCCGCCGCACCCGGCCCTCGCCTCCTTGCGTCGACGCCGCCAGCCACCGGCCCCGCCCCGCACGCGTTACAGGATTGTATGCTCGGGCGCGGGCGAGCCGCTTCGCGAGCCGCCAACCAGAGCTTGCGCGACCAGGCGGCGCTGTCATGACCCGCGGAGCAGATACACATCTCTTTAATTTGGATTTTTTTAATTTGCTTGTGGAGACGTGGCTGGGTTCACAGCCTTGTTATTGAGAAGAAAATACGCCCGATGGCGCTGTGCGCTGGTCTGTGAGAGGGCGATAACTAACTAAATATATATAGTCGCGATTTGCCGGCGTGCGTATGAGCTCACTAGCGCTAGAGCTCACACACCAGACGAGAGGCCGCGTCAACGCATTCGACAACACAAAAAGGGCTCCAGGCCCCAAATGACGTGTGAGTGTTAGAGTTGTTTGGTATTGCTAAATCTCTCTCTCGCATTCGCCTTCCTGGTACCCAGCGCTGGCTTCTGACTGTCGTTGCTATCTCTCCCTTCTCGACTGTCTGTGCTTGCTTGTGCGTCTTGGGTCGGATTGTGTTTTTGTGCGTGTTTTTGTGTTTTTGAGAGAGATTGTGAGAGGGCAATAATGTGACAAATAAGAAGGAAAATTGTGGGCCACTTGACGGTCGCGGCCTTCCGCACTCCTATCTCCGCCTGGCACTATTGTAGCCCTGGCCGGTGCGCGTGCAGAGTTGAAGTTCCGGAGTAAAAAATCGAACGCGTTCTCTCACGGTGACCAAAAAATGTCCACCTCAGAGGCACCTCCGGAGGCAGGCCGCCGCACGCCGGCGACACAGCTCCAGCTGTCGAACTGACCCGCAGCTCCTCTCAGAGCGGGAACTGCGACGAAAGTTGACTGAGGCGGTTGTCAGGAATCATCATACGGATCACATGGTGGCTCTTTCATGACGGGAGACCGCCCGACCACTCCTGGGTGGCACTGCCACCGGTGTCGCTCGACGTCCTGTCGTGCCGACAGCGACACAGACCATGTGAGACGCGTAGAGTATCGACCTCTACTGCTTGCCCAACCTTCGAGTGTATCCTGACTGTGGTCCCACACCCACTGGTGTCCATCTCAGAGACTGCAGGAGGTCATGAGGGTCGATGGGAGTGCCGTATACCCACAATGCACCGTAATATACAAACCCACAGCCCCCAGTATCTCCACATTTACATTTTTAGACCGTACACGGATGCTCGTCAGCACTAAGTCAGGCATTGGGGTTATCCTAAGTGCAAGTAAAGAACCCTACGCCTTTCGCCACCCGTGCAACGCCTTGACCCCCTCGGCCCTCCAGCCGGGGTCAAAGTGCGGGGACACGCCGACCCGAAAGTCAATGGAGACGCGCGTGAAGGGCGTCGGGTTGGCGGGCGCGTGGTGGCGGCAGAGGCAGCCGTGGAACGCCGCCGCATCGCCATAGTCGAGCAGGAGCGGGTGGAAGTCGCCGCGACCGGGGCTCGTCTCGACGTGCAGCGTGGTTCGCGTGCGCTCGAGCGAGGTGAGCGGGAGCCAAAAGTTGACCTCGCCGGCCTGGTGGCCGTAGTCCTTGTCTGCGTGGAGCGGGCCGTGCTCGTGCGACGGGCCGGGCTGCACGCGGAGCGTGGGGGGGAACTGGTAGTGGAACTCTGGCTCTCCCTCCTCCTCGGCCCCCTCGAGCCGGCTCCGCAGGTGCGGCAGGATCACGTCACGCACGAGCCGCTCGTAGGCGGCGAGGAAGGGCGCGTCCTTGCCAACCTCTCGATAGAGCGCCTGCTGCACCTTGAAGCGCCGGAAGACGTCCCCGTGCGGTGCAAAATCCTCCAGCTCGGGCGCGCCGGAACGCGACGCGGCCGGGAAGGAGCCGATCCCTCTGCGAGGCTTCGCGAGCAGCCGCACGGCCGCGCCGCGCAGGTCGTGCGCGCGCGTGTCGAAGCGAAGCGACGCCTCGGTTTTGAGGCACGCGGGGAGGGCGGGGCAGTCGGGGAGGGCCGGCGCGGGGAGCGCGGAGGAGAGCGGCGCCGCGGTTGAGGCTGCTGCGGCCGCCTCCGGGGCGGCGGCGGCGTTCGCGCGGGAGAGCTCGCGTTGCACGAGGGCGAGGGCGACATCGGGCGGCTCCGGCCGCACGCGCACGATCCGCTGCGTGGAGAGCTCGTCGAAAAGCATCGCCGCCTCCGCCTCGCCCGGCTGCGGCCCATCGCAGCGCCCGCCGCGGCGCCGGTGGCGGCGAAGCACGGCCTCGCAGTGGCGAGCTCCTCGGAGGTGCTCTGCCATCCGCAAGGGCGACGAGAGCGTCTCGTGGCACAGGCAGCAGCGGCGCAGCCCCAACGGCGGAAGCGCGGCGGCGGCGGCAGCGCGGCGGAAGGAGCGCACCCACTCTTTGTCGGCAGGGGCGCCTCGGACCCCTCTCCCCTCTCTCTCTCGCCCGCTCTCCGCCCCCTCCCTCTGCTCCTCGCGCCTCTCCAGCTCGACCTCCCGGCCCAAATGCTCAATCAGAGGCGCGAGGGCGCGCCCCACGCACGCCAGCGGCGCATCGCTCACCGCCGCCTCGCCGGCCGCCTCCACCACTGCCGCCTCCGCCTCTGCCGCCTCCGCCACTCCCGCCTCCGCCTCCGCCGCCTCCACCTCCGCGATCATGAGTCCGCACGCCTCGAGTGTGCTCGCGCGGCCGACGCCCGAGCCGGGGCGGAGGGCCTCGATGAGCCCGGACGTGTGGGCCGCCAGCCGGCCCTCGCCCAGCCTCACGCACCGGAGTCGGCCGGCGGAGCTACGCCACAGCTCGTCGGCGAGGGCGCGCGCCTGCTCCCACGACCCGTCGGGCACCAGCACGGTCAGGACAGCTCGCTCGCCGCCGCCGTCGCCGTCGCCGCCGCCGTCGCCGTCGCCGCTGCCGCCACAGCGGTCGCTGCCGCCGCTGAACTCGTTTTCGCCGAGCGCTGCGCGCTTCGCACCTCGGGCGGCGGCGACGGCGGCGGCGACCGCCTCGGCCACGCCCTCGCTCTCCGCGTCGGCTCCCGGGAAGAGCATGCGCGTGCTTCCCTCGCAACGGAGCAGCTCCTCGAGCCGCGCCTCGTGCGCCTCGGCGCCATAGGCGAGAAGCTCCGCCTCGTCGCCTCCGCCGGCCAGCACCGAAGCGAGCCGCGCCGACGACGTGGAGCGCAGCAGCTCGCACGGGTGGCTCACGATGGCCCACCGCAGCCGGAGACGTCGCCTCGACCGGCGAGGGGCCTCCTCGGAAGCGAGGCGGGCGCAGACGCAGCAGCCGGGCGGCATCCAGCAGTAGCGGCAAACGCCGTCGCGCGCGGCCACGCGGCAGCTGACGCTTAGCAGCGCGCGTGCGGACAGGAGGAGAGGGTCGAGCGGCGAGTCGGTGGCACTGGCAGCCGCGGATAGGCGCGCGAAGCCGCTTGCCGAGCGACTTGCCACGCACGCCAGGGCCTCCTCCGCGGCGTCGCCGTCGAACTCGTCAAACACCGCGTCGATGCCCCGCCGCCACGCCCGCCGCTGCGCCTCCGCGCTTCGCCGCCACCGCTGCGCTTCTCGAGCGACGGCGGCCGCGTGCTCTGGCTTACGCGCGACGACACGCGCGACCGCAGCGAGGCCAGCGTGGAAGCGCCCCTCGTCGAGCGAGCTCTCCGTCTCTGCCGCCTCGAGCAGCTCCAGCCCGCCCACCTCAGCGGACAGCGTCGCCGCACCCACCAGCCGATCGACCGGTGGCCCCGCCGCGCGCGCACCGCGCAGGACAGCCTGCCTGGGCGCGTAGCACTCCACGAGTAGGAGGCCTCCGGGGCGGAGGGCGGCGGCGCAGCGCGCGAGGAGCCGCGCGCGGGGCTCGAGCGGCAGCGCGCAGAAGATGCAGAGGATGACGTCGCATGACGAGGGGCCAGGCCGGTACGCGTCCAGGTCGGCGAGCCGTGTCTGGAGGCGCGAGGCTGGCACGCCTCGCTGCGACGCGAGCAGAGCCGCCTTGCGCAGCCCGACGGCGGAGGAGTCGACGGCAGTCACGGTCGCGCCCAGGCCAGCGAGGTGCACGCCGTTGCGTCCCTGGCCCGCACCCAGGTCCAAGACGTGCAGGCCTCTCAGGGGCTCGCTCGGCGGCTCGCTCGGCGGCTCGCCGCCATCCGTTGGCAGCAAGTAGCGCGTCACAGCTTCGACGACGAAAACGCTGGGCTCCTTGCCATAAGCCCAGCCACGCTTGTAGCGTGCGTCCCAGTCCACCGGCTTGGCAAAGTCCATCGGCCGACTACGAGGAGGCACATCAACTCTCACGGCACGACAAGACCGCGAACTGGGCGTCCCCCGCGTACGACATATCTAGCTGGGACCCCCACACAAAAGAATTTCCCGCTACGGCAGGGCGGCTCGCGCAGCGCGCGCGATCGCGCAAGCGGCGCGCGCGAGCGAACGAGCGAGCACACACACACACACACACACACACACACACACACACACACACACACACACACACACACACACACACACACACACACACACACACACACACACACACACACACACACACACACACACACACACACACACACACACACACACACACATGCACGCACGCACCTCCCCAGAAATACCGAGGAGCCGTGCAGTGCCTAGATAAGTCTGTGTGCTGTGTGGTGCACGCCCTCCGAGCAGGGCGGGGTCTGCCCGTCGGGTTGCTGCCCTAATCCCACCAGGGGTTGTCTGCTCTATTTATTTATTCTCCGCGCTCGATCTGGGAGCCACTCGGCGCCAGGTCGAACGGCGGTCGGCTCGGCCACTGCGGGGCGATGCATGATAGAGCATGCTGGGCGCCGCATCATCTACTACCGCTCCACGCCAAGGCGCGGGGCGGCGGTGCTCGCCGGCGCTCGCGCGTCGCGGCGCTTCGGTGCTCGGGCGCGCTCACCATGTGGTCGTTCAGGGCGGCTTGCACAGCGCCTGCACACACACACACACACACACACACACACACACACACATGCTCATGCACACATGCACACACACACATGCACAGACACACAGCCCCTTCCCCTTCCCCCTCACGACCGCAAGGGCGAGGACACGCGCACAGGCCGCACCTCTATAGCGAAGCCCACAGAGTGGGAGACTCCTATCACCGCCCCTGCCTTGGCCGCCTCTGTCAGTGTGCCCGTGGTAGTGAGAGACTGCCAGCGAGAAGCCGGAGGAAGGTCACTAGTCGAGAGAGATCGCCAGTGGAATAGGGAGTCCACCGTGCTGCGAACCTGTCGCTGTCCCTTTTGTCAGTAGCAGGAGAACTAGGAGAGCGCAACCAGTAGGAGGCCCGCGCCTGCCCCCGTGCCGCCGGGTGCAACTTTGTCCTATACGAGAGGGGAGGGAATCCCTGGGACCCTGTCGTGTGGGTGAACCCTGCCCAGCCCCCCTCGTGTCGCGATGCGCTCCCCGCTCCCGTTCCCCTGTGTCCCTGATCGTCCTTACAAGATCCTGCTCGTGCAGGTGGGGACCCTGTCCTTCTCCCACCCCTTGTAGCTTGTTTGGTGTGTCCGTTTTATTTATTTATTACTCCAACTCTTTCTGCTGTGTGGTGCACGCCCTCCGAGCGGGGCGGGGTCTCCCGTTGGGTTGTCGCCCATCTCCAGAGGAGATGTCTGCTCTATTTGTGTATGCACTCCAAATATGCTCCAAGAGGACTCCAAGTGCTACCTCAGCACAGTCCTCCCATCCCACCTTGGGCCTCAGCACAGTCCTCCCATCCGCCATCCCACCTTGGGGCGTGTTTTTCCTTTCTTTTTTCTCAGCACGACAGTCTATACGCGCCGGGATGCACGTCCCTTACCGCCGCCAAAAGCGACGGACGATTCCGGCGAGCTTCACACCATATCGAGAGGCGCGCTCCCGCAAACGACAAACCCGCAGGACCTCATTTGACTACTGTGACACCAGCGCCCGCTGGCTCAGGAAGCGCTCCGAGTGCGGCCACGGCTGGTTGTCAAAGACGAGGGAGGAGGGCTCCTTCCCAAGCTCTGCGGCACAGCGCACTATCCGCCTCCGCGTCGGCGGGTCTTCCGACGCGCTCCGCAGCGCCGCCACCGCATTCCGTGCGGTTTCTTCGTCGTCGCTGTCGGCGAGCAAGACGAGCGGCCGGATGCACTCGTCCGGTAGCTGCCGACCCTCGCCGATTGCTAGCGCCATCAGGGTGCCCGCCGCCCGCTGCTTCACTGCAGCACCGCCCTTTGCTGCCATGGCGCCGAGAGATGGGAGGATCCCGGCACCAACAACGGCCTCCTTGCCAGCGCGCGTATTGCTCAGGTTACAGAGAGCCTGCAGGGCGGTCTCGACGACCTCCTCCTCCTCCGAGACATCCACAAGCTTGCCCAAGTGTGTCACTAGCCCCGCCCTCAGTGCTTGCTCCGCCGCAGCGGGCTGGCTCAGGAGATTGGCCAAGGCGGCCAGGCAGGGGCGTTTCAGGTCCGCGCTGGCCCGAGAGAGCGCGTCTGTGAGCGAGCCCACCAGAGTGGCGCTCTCCAAGAGGATGGCGCACCCATCCCGGGAGAGGGAGAGCGAGAGGAGGGCCGACGCCGCAGACACCGACGAAGAGGGGAGAAGGGCCTCGAGCGCCGCGACTGCGAAGGCGTCCTTTACAGCTGCCCGTCCTTGGCACACGAGGCTCAGCGAAGCGATGCAGTCGGCGGCTCCCGCTGTGTGGTCGGGTTTCTCGAGCAGTGCCACGAGAGACGGCACGAGGGTGTCGTTGTGGATTGCCTCCATCTTGGACTCTTGGTTGGAGAGAAGCGCCTTGAGGTCGGCAAGGGAGGAGGCGAGGAGGTCACCGTCGCTGGAATGTAGAGACTCTGCCAGCTTGGCGATAGCACGCCGTCCAAAGGCAACCATGTGGGTGAGTCGTTACGCGTGGCGCCGGTGTTTTTTCCCGACGTCGGGGGTTCGTTTCGAAACAGTTCGAGGAGGAGGAGAGGAGGAAAGCAACAAACTGGGGGGGGAGGGGAGGACGGCACGCCGCCACCACACAGGGGTGTAAGGATAGAAGAGTGTGCGTCTGTATATCTTCCTTCCTATCTCTTCGCAGTCTCTCGCCAAACAGTTCTACAATCAATTCTCGCAGCGACCTTCATGCCACCTCGCGGTCTTCCCACTCTCGTCGTCCTCTCTCCGGCCCCGTCATCCTCCGCCTCATCGCTCTCCTCGGCCTCGTTCTGCGACCACGCGTCGCGTGAACAGAATTTTGAGTAGAGCTCTATTCGAGTACGACGGTGGTAAGGAGAATTCCGAGAATTTAGCGGGCTGTGCGGGCCGACTGATATCACGGCTTCAAACAAACTTTTATGTCCCACCATGCAGAGCGCATCTCTCTCTCTGTTGTGCGAGGCGTGAACCGCGCCATTCGCTCTCACCTGGCAACCCTGTCTGCACGTCTCGCGCGCGCGTGAACAGGGCTCCAGGCCCCAAATTACGTGTGAGTGTTAGAGTTGTTGTACCTCTCTCTCTCGAGTTGTTTGGGAAGGCTAAAAATCTCTCTCTCTCGGCTTCACTGTGGCTTGTTCCATATGCACGACTGGCCAAGCAGTGACTGTGTCGTCGGCAAGCGATACCCATTCGCAATAGCGCAGCCTATGCCAGCGCCGACTCGGGAAGCGCGACCGGAGGCGTGCAAGCCGTTGCCCGCGATGCATCCCACAGTGCGTCCGACTCTGATAGGGTATTTCGCATCTGCCCGCGCCGCAGGATGATGAAAGGAGGAGCACGTGGTGGAGAGGGTCGTAAAAGGGTGGGTGGAGGCAGAGAGGGCGCAGGCGGTGGCGGGCTTGGCGTCATCGTCGTTAGGCTGGGCGACGCCGATCCCGTCGACGCGTGTGCTGGCCGAGACGGTGCAGGCGCACCCGACGCTCGGTCTGAGGGCAGTCGCGGTGAGCAGCAGCGAGGTTCTCACTGAGCCGGGGAAGATGGCGGAGATGCAGGGCCTCGTGCGGGGTGTGGTGCGCGAGGCGATTGAGCAGGGGCAGAAGGCAGGGAGGGGTAGGGCGGGCCCTGCAGAGAGGGCCGAGCGAGAGACGGCCTTCGCCCCGGCTGGCGCGGCCGCTACCGGCTCCGCAGCCGCCGCCACCGCCGCCGCCGCCGCTGCCGCCGCTGCTGCCGCCGCTGCCGCTGCCGCTGCCGCTGCTGCTGGCGCTGCAGGCTCGTCGTCGGTGCATACCGGCCTCGCACACGTCCACGGAGGAGGAGTTCGCTGCGGGAGTGCCTTTCACCGGTTGACTGCGGCCCAGCCCTCCTTCCCGCGGGTGCCGCTGATGCCGCCGGTGCCGCAGCCACCCCGGGATGGGGCAGTCTTCACGGCCCGGGCGGCGGCTTCGGCCACGACTGCGAGCGGCAGCGGTGCGGCGCAGCAGCTCGGAGGCGGGGCACCGGTCGCCGCCCCGCCGATCGCTCCGCCGCCCGTGGCGATGGCGCGGCTGAGTGCGGCGCCCGTGCAGGAGGTCGAGTCGGCGTCGGCGTCGGCGTCGTCGACGCTGAGCCTTCCGCATGACGGTGTGGCCGGCTGCACGCGCAGCGCTTCGACAGGACGGTACAGCTTCTCCCTCGCCGCGCGGGAGCTGCTCGAGAAGGTCGCGGCTTGCAGTAGCTAGTAAAACCTTGGTGCGTGCCGGAGGGCGAGTGTTCGCCGTGAGTGCTTCCGGCTGCCGCGAGCAGGTCTTCGCGGCGGACCGCAAGCCAGGCAGCCACTTGAAGGCCAGGCTCGCCGCTCACCTCGGGGCCACGCCGCACCAGGCGCGCTACCCCTTTGAGAATTCAAATCCGTCTCTCTTGCGCCCCCCGACACTCCCGGTCCGCAGGGGTCCATCTGGTTCCAGAACAGGAGAGCGAGGGCAAAGTCGGTGGACAGCACCGAGGCGGCGCAGCTCTACCTCCAGGCAAAGCAGACCGGGGCGACGCAGGCACCTCCTCTTGCGCAGGCGCCTCCTCTTTCGCCACTGACGAGCCACGGGGAGGCGGAAGCGAGTGCGCCCGGGGCGGAGGAGGCCGCGGGGCCAGGCGTGTGGGCGGCGGCGGCGGCGGCGAGGGCGCTCGCGGCGGCATCGGAGGCGGCGGCCAAAGCTATCATAGAGGCGGCGGCGAAGGCGAGGGCGGCAGTGCAGGATGCGGAAGAGGAGGAGGCGGACAAGTCGGACGAGGTGATGGATGTCGAGGGCGGCTTTGCCAGCGGCGGCGGCGGCGGCGGCGGCGGCGGGGGGGGCGATTTTGCCATTGAGGAGTATTCGACGCGCGAGGCGCTCGGTGAGCGCACACTGTAGCACAGAACTCAGCTCACGATTTTTGAACTCGTTTCGGACTTTTTTCTCGCTGGGCCGCGCCTGGGGTTCCAACTTTTTCCGGGGTATGGTAGCATCGCGGCCCAAAGGGTGGGGGGTATGGTCCTGACCGCCGGGAGGCTGGGTCTGTCAGCAGGCGGGGGGTATGGTCTCGAGGTGGGTTGCGCGGCGGGCACCATCCCATACCCCGCAAAAACTCCGAACCCAGCTGTGTGCTGTGTGCGCCTCGTTTCATTCGAGTTGGCACTGCGCGATGGCCAGAGCGTGATGGCCGACGAATCCTGTGCCTGCTTCTCGCTCTGCCACCCAGAGGAAGTCCGCTCGTTCTTCATCCGGCTTCCGATCGTTACGAGCGCGGCCTCGCCCTGGTACGAGTACCTGCGCGCCGTCTATCACACTCCCTCGGTGCCACTCCCCTTTGACCTGCGAACGCTCGGCGCCTTTTACCTGCCGCTGCACGCCGAGCAATTCGGCCAGGTGAGTATCCCATGGGGAGGCACCCGCTGCAACCGGACAACAGGACGCTCCACTGCGCGCCGATGCGCAGCGAGTGTTTGCCGGGCCTGGCTCAATCTGAGCGAGGCGCGCGAGGCCCAGGCGCGAGAGTGGGAGCGCGATCCCATCTCACACCCGCTCGGGGCGCGGGTGATGAGCTGGAAGCCCGCCAGCGTCAAGCGCGACCCGAATGTGCTCTGGCACGCGGGCGGCCTGCCGCTCAAGGCGTGGAGCTTTGCGCCCGTGCCAGCGACGCCATTCTCGCACGAGGCGCAGCTGACCGAGGTGACGCTCATGGGCGACATCAACTCGGCCTCTGCGGCGCAACGCACTCGCATGGAGCCGTACATTCTTCTCCGCTTCGCCGCCGCTGCCGAGCAGCGCGCGCCACCGAGCGAGGCGCCGTTCGAGGTCCTGCGCAACGCCTACCCCGGTGCACCTGATGGCGTGCTCTACGGCTGCTGGCTCACAGCTCTCCTTGAGCCCTTCCCTCGCGGGACGGGCATCGCGCTCCACGCCGGGCGCACCCTCAGCTTCGTTTCCAAGGCGGCCGCAAAGCACTGGGCAAGGCGCGGCAACGGCACCCACTGCTCGTGGCACTGGGAGGCGGTGCCGCCGGACCTGCTCCGCCGGGCGAGGGTCGCTCCTCCCGCCCCGGGGGCGGACCCGAGGTGGACAGTGCTCCAGCGCGTCGTCGACTTTGGCGACAACAGCCTCGCCGCCTGCGCGCGAGAGACCGGTTACGACAGCGTTCTGATGCAGTCGGGCGCATCCTCGCGGCCGGAGCTGCTCCTCGCCACGCCAGAGTGCACGTGGCCGGGCCAGATGAGGCCCCTCGCCGTGTGCACACCCCCCGAAACCGCTCTTCGGACCGGCTGGTGGGCAGAGCGCCGGTGCGTTTGCGCGCGGACGGCGCCCGAGATCGGATGCCATGGGACTGGAGTTGGTCCTCTTGCTGGAGGTCTCGCTGCAGCGGCCCCGGGTTTGCAGGTGGCAGGGGTTCGGAATCGCTCTCTCGAGGTGCTCAACTGTGGCGGCTTCCCGCTGTGCCCTCCGACTCTTCACTCAGTGACACACGTAGTCCGCAGAAACAGAGCGGAAGCCGCCACTCGCGCCACAGTGGGCTGCACCCGCAGAAACAGAGCGGGCTGCAGCGGGGCCGAGCGATTTTTGATCTCTCGGTCAGTGGGCGCCCGCCCGCCGCCTCTGAGGGCGTTGGGCCCCCTAGTCTGAAAACAAAAACAAACTCGAAAACAGCCAAATCAGCCTGCGAGAGAGGCACTGCGGCGCCGCTCGTGGACCTCACATGTGTACATGAGTACATGTACATGTTGTTGTTGTTGTTGTTGTTGTTGTTGTTGTGCATGTGGGGGATCATCCGATGTGCATGCACACATGTCTCATGCCTCAGAGGATGTGTGCCGACACCAATACTGATCTAAAACCTGGAAACCCTTGTTCAAAGCCGACCCTAAGCGCCATCCTTCCTGCTCCCACCTGATGCTGCTTCCCCGCGCCGCCTCCTTGGCCCCCTTGGGCGTATTTCTACTCCCAGTGGGGGGGGGCTGGGCCCCCGGGGGCCACCTCTCTTGTTTTCTGTTTTTCAAAACGCCCGCCCGTCCGCCACCCCGAGGCGGCTCGGCCCCCCACTGACCGAGAGATTAAAAACGCTCCCCGGAGGCCACCAGAAACCGCGCCTCCCCCCAAACGGACGAAAGAGGTGCGCTATTGAACCCCGTCCCTCTGCACGTAGACACCGCGGTCACCGCGCCCCACTCTGCTCGTTTCGCGTGCGTTCGTGTCATGAGCTCTGTTCGTGTGTACGGAGATGAAATAAAAAGCGGCAGGTACTCGAGTCGACTCATCCGCCCCAGAACGCGGGACACGGGGACCAGGCGAGGCCGAGCGTGCGGGAGCCCTGTGGTGGCGGCGACGGGCACCCGCCTCCCGGAGAGCCACTCAGCACGGCCTCGACGTCGCATGGACTGTCAAACGCGTCGGCGTCCCCGGCCGCGGGATCGCCGCCCCAACTCGCTCTTGCGCGCCGCTGGACGGCCTCCACCTCCTCCAGCCTGGCTCCCCGCGCCTGCATCGCCGCAGCGACACCGGCGAGTGACCACGGGTTCTCGGGCCACACCTCGAGGTCTGCTCTGAAGACGGCCTCCGCGCGGGGCGCGGCTCCCTCGACGCGCAAGCTCTGAGGGTGTCCCCGCACGCGGTGCGCCGCGAGGAGGAGGACCGCGCCCAAACAGTGGCGGGTGGGGTAGTGCCACGGCGGAGGCTCGTCGTACGCGAGGCCCGCCTCTCGCTCCACCGCCCTCTGCAGAAGGCCGACCGCGCCATCCACGTCGCCATCGAGGAGGGCGATCCTCGCGCGCAGCGTCCAACCTGCGATGCAGCGCGCCGCGTTGTCCCAGGCGCAGGGCGGCGGCCCCGGCTTGCCCGTGGGGGCGTGGATGCAGTCGCACGACGAGTTGTCGAGCTGTCTTAGCGAGGCGCGTGCCGTGGCGAGGGCCGCCTCGCCCCTCGCCCCGCCCGACAATTGCCACGGCGCCTTCCCGCCGCTCGCTTCGGCCGCCAGCGCCAGCCCATGCGCGTAGAGACAGACCGGGTCCGCGCGGCACGGCACAGCGGCCACGGTGGCCCGCACCTTTGCGTGCTCGCCAAAGCGCACGAGCGTGGTGAGGAAGGCAGTGCGGCCTAGCGCAGCGGCGTGGAGGCCAGCGGTGTTCTGGCGACCGCTCATCGCCGCGGCGTGGACGAGCATCTCCAGGTTATGCTCGGTGAGGTACGGCGACGCCCCATGCGCCCGGTACAGCGCGTCCTCGCGCAGAGCGCGCTCGTTGGCGGCGACCGACTCTGCAAACCTGCCCAGCCGAGAGAAGACGTGCGACGGCATGTGGATCAGATGGCCGAGCCCTCCGGACACACGGGCGAGCGCCTCGGCAGCCTCCGCGACGGCGGCAGGCCCATTCGCCGAGTCCGCTCGAGGTCGGCCCTCGGCGATGTGGATGTAGAGGTGGAGGGCGAGCGGGTGGTGTGGAGAGGCGGCCAGGGCACGGCGCAGGAGAGGCGTCGCCTCGGCCACCGCGGAAGTCGGGGCGCCGGCCGCCTCCATCGTGTTGTTGGCGTGGAAGCGGGACGAGTACGCCACGCCGATGGTGGAGGACTCGCCTCCCGCCAAGCAGAGCAGCGCCTCCGCGTAGTGCACGTCCAGCTCCGCCCGCTCTGCCACAGACAGCCCGCCGCCGCCAACCCACCGCTCCTTCCGTGCCGCGTCGAGTGCACCAGCGTACGCGCGGAAGCCAGCCTCTTCGGCATCCAGGTCGACACTCCACGACACGGGCGGGTGGCGGAGCGCCATCGCCGCGATGAGCGCAGCCTCCAGCGAGCCTCGGGGAGAGCCGACGAGCGAGTGTGCGAGTGCTGCCTCGCGGCGTGCCGTCGCAGCGTCCGCGCTCGATGGCTCGCCAGCAGTGGGGCCGCACGCGTAGGCGACGCCCCAGTGGCACATTGCGCAGCGTGGCGCGGCCGCCACCGCCGCCTCGAACGCGCGTCTCGCCTCCTCCCGGTTGAAGCCGGCCATGTGCAGCATCCCAGCGTCAAAGTACGGCTGAGCGGCGGCGGCAACGGCAAGGAGAGAGTGGTTCGACGCAAACCGCGGCAGCCAGATCAGGTCGGGCCGGCCGAGAGGCACCGGCGGCGAGGCGGGAGCTGATGACACCCAGTCGCGGGCACGCTGCCCTCCGGGCCACCCCAGCAGGGCGACCACAGCCACGATGGCGCAGGCAGCGAGTGGAGCGGTGCTGCGCGATCGCGACGGCGAAATGGAGTTGGGCTCGTCCGAGGACTCGTCGGAATCGACTGCGAGCGCCGCAAAGGCCGTCATTCTAATAGCAGAGGCGTCGGGCAGCCATAGCAAGCCCGAGTCACGCGCGGAAGTTTGAGCATTGAGGACGCACGCGCGCTGGACCACACCCACGGGCTGGCTTTCGTTGAGTTTCTTCTTCTTTTGACGATCCGAGGCCTCTCTCGACCTGCACGACACGCGATGCAAGCAGTGCAGCCTCAACCCTCGTTTCAAGTCCAAGGTTGTGTGTAGCACCGCCGCCAATGACTGCCGGGGCGTCACACTGACAGCGAGAAGGAACTCACCAGTCCGATAAGGATCAACTGGAAAGCTGAACCCTGGGCTTAGACAGAACGGGCGTGGCAGGCTCCAGGGGAGGCCACGCTCTACCCGGGGCGCTAAGGAGGGAAATCGAAACTGTTGGGCGTCCATCGACAAACAACTCACGAGGACACACCGACAATCCCCCCTCCCCGAGGACCGAACCTTGGCACGTAGCGCACGGGTCATCTCGGAGAGAGAAAGGGGAGGGAAGAGAGGGGGGATAAGGGAGCCGAGATACGCGGGAGTACCCTGGGAGTGAGAGCTCTCATTCATGGTCGCTAGAGACCACCATGGGGAACGGACACCAAGGCACTAACTTCATCACTCATTCACCCCGCGCGATCTAGCAAACCCTGGTCGATGGGTCTTAGGATCGGCGGCCAGCTTCCCACCTAGGGCAGGGAACCCCCGGCGACGCAAGTGTGGCCTACGCGGGTAGGGAAGCCACAGCTAGTACGCGATACAGGGGCTGGGGGGAGTGGGGCGCCCGCGCCAAGGGGGAGAGAATGGAGGGGGGAGAATATGCGTGCTCGTTTTTCTTCTAAAGCATTTTTTTTTTCAAGTCCAAGGCGCCGAGAAATCTGCAGCCGCCAGCCGGGGGGAGGACCTCGCTCCTCGGGGGCCGGCCCCCCCTGGGGCCTGGTCTCGTATATGCGCTAAGGTTATTCCTCTCCTTTTCTTTACTGCTGAGATGAAACAGAGCTCAGAGGAGCAAACCTCACAAGCACAAATTACATGTGCCACGAGTCGCTCTCGCTTCCCTCTGCATCGCCCCACCGCACCATCGGCTCAGCGGCGTCGCGCGGACGCGCCGCGAGGAACGGCGGCTCCGTGGACTGGAGCCGCGCCGCGCCCAGCGCGTCTCCCGACGCCGACCCCTTGCGGAGCGCCTCGAGCAGCGCCGCGCCCTCGCCGCCGCCGTCGCGGCCGCGAGCGAGGAGCCACGACAGCGCGAGCTGCGCGAGCGGGGCCGCCTCGCCGGCGCTGCCTCCGATCCCGAGCGCCGCGAGCGGCGAGGGCGGCTTCTCGGTGTACTTGAGGCCGAAGACCTGCGCACCCTTGTCGACGTAGTCGAGCAGCACCTCGTCCACCGTCGCGAGCTTGTCCACCTGTTCACGCCTCGAGGTGTGAAGAGAGGACGGCCGCCGCAAGCCCCTCGCCGAGCCGCCGAGTGGGAAGTGTCTAGGACCATGTTTCGCACGCGCATCGAGTGGGAAGTGTCTAGGAAGTGCCTCAAAAGTGCCTCGGAAGTGTCTAGGATGAGCCTAGGAGTGTCTCGGAAGTGTCTCGGAAGTGTCTAGGGGGTCCGCCATGTTTCGCTCCAGCGCGTCGGGCCCGAACCACGTCTCGCCGGTCGCGATCTTGTCGATGTCGAGCGAGGGCCGGTTCTGCGCGACGAAGCCCTTGAATAGCTTGAGCACCTGCTCGGCGGGGCGTGGGGTGGGGTGGGCGTGAGCCGCGCCTCTTCCCGCCTGCTCGATGTCCGTGCCGAGAGGAGGCGTCTGGCAATGTGTCTCGGGAGCTGTGTGGGGGAGGGGCCTGCTCGATGTCCGACTTGAGCTTCTTCTCGTCGAGCGGGTCGACCTTCTTGGTCGGGGTGAGGGTGCGCTTGTACTTGCCCGCGGTGATGGTCGAGAAGGAGATCCCCTCGCGCTTCAGCCGCTCGTACACGTTCGGCTGCTCCGTGATGACGCCGATCGAGCCGAGCACCGCGAAGGGCGACGCGACGAGCCGGTCCGCGACGCACGCCATCATGTAGCCGCCAGAGGCGGCGACCTGCTCGGCGCGCCAGTGGTGAGGCGGCAGCCGAGATTGGCCGAGATGCGCCGAGGGCTGTCAGGGAATGCCTCCTTGAGAGGAGGTGTCGGAGGTGTCTCGGGAGTGTCGAGGAGGTGTCTCCGAGGCGTCTTCGAAGCGTCTCGGAGGCGTCTCGGAGGCGTCTCGGAGGCGTCTCGGAGGCGTCTCGGGAGCGACCTGCTCGACGCAGATGGTGAGGGGCAGCCCCGCCTCCTTGAGGCGAAGCAGCTGCGACGCGGCGAGGCCGTAGCCTGTGACGGTGCCGCCGCCCGTGTTGAGCACGAGAACAACCTCGTCCGCCCGCTCCTCAGCCTCCGCGCTCGTCAGCACCGCCGTGATCTCCTGCCGGAGCTGCGCCACCTGCGAGGCGGTCACGTCGCCAAAGAACTTGAGCACGTAGACGTGCTTCGACTTGCTCGCCGCCTCGGTCGCCGCGTCGACCAGCGCGTTGAGCGCGTCGAGGCGGCCGCCGAGCGACTCGCCTGCCGCCGCCGCAGACACCGCGCCGCCGCCCTGCCCGCCGGCGACGCCCTTCGCGCGGGAAGAGGAGGGCTGGAGCACGCTCGCGAGGGCGGCGGCCTGGTCCTTGGACACGATCTCGGACAGCCTCGCCAGGAAGGAGAGCTCGAGCTCGATCTGCTGCTGCTGCAGCCTCGAGACCTCCTTCATCGCGGCGCTGCTGCCCATCGCGCCTCCCATGCGTGCGAATACCTGGGCGCCGCCCGAGAGGAAGCCGCCGCCCTGCTCCTCCCCCTCGGCCGACGCCTCGCCCTCCGCGTGCTTGCTGCCGCCGCCCTTCCCGCCCCCCTTTGCGAGCAGCTTGTCTGCGCGCACCGCCATCAGCTTCTTCTCGATCTGGGAGGTCAGCCGCTCCTCCTTTTTGCGGTATGCCTTGGTCGCCTCGAGCACGCGCTCCACAGTCGCCGCGTCCAGCCCGAAGGCGGCGAACTCGGACCCGAACTGCCGCGCCAGCGACTGGCGCGCGCGCTCGCGTGTGGCGGAAGCGGGAGACACAGACGCCTTTCGCAGCGAGTACTCGAAGGAAGTGAGCTTCTCGTTGAGCTTCTCGATCTGGAGATACTCCTTGGGCTCTCCTCCCACTCCGAGAGCTTTGGCGAGAGGCGGCGGCAGCATTGGCGCATCATCCGATCCATCCGAGGAGGCGCGGGCACCGGCCGAGACCACGGCGATTGCGGCGGCGCCCAGCACGCCCGCAGGGACACCCCACGAGATGACGGTCTTGGCGAGGTACAAGCCGAGCTCGTGGACCTCACCACTGCTCAGCCAGGCTGCCTCCGGTGCAGCGGCGAGCAAAGACGCTGCCTCATCAGCGCGTGCCTCGAGCGCGGGCGGCAGCGCAGCGGCGGCGGCGGCGGCGGCGGAGAGTATTGGACGGCTCGGAAGGCTTGGCTGCGCAGGAAGCCGGAAAGCGCTGGAGAGGCTGACCAGCGTGAGCAGCGCGAGCGGATAGCGCAGCGCGAACGAGAGCATCGTGGCTCTGGCGCTCCGCGATGACCCTCGCAGGAGGCTTCTTCTCCTGCCTTGCGAGTTGTGTTCCGCGACACTTCCTGCCTTGACACCATTTTCTTCTGTGACTAGTGTGGGACCTGCGGCGGTACCCGCCTCTGTTGTTCGGGCAGTGAGAGACGCAGGATCTGCACGCGAAGTGTGGGCTCCGCTCCGCATTTGCATTTTGGTTTTGATGCTCCTGTGTTCCGCGGTGTTGATGCTCTCCTGTGTTGTGTTCCGCGACACCTCTTGCGTTGACGCGAGTTCTTCTGTGATTGGGGGGGCTGTTTTGTTTTGTAGCTACTCCCGGATCCACTCCCCCACGCCCGTTCGGTATGAGCTCTCTTGCTTTACAAAAGAAGAAAAACTTGCCGGTTCTACGCCATGTTCGCCGCAGCGGCAGCGGCAGCAATCGCTAGCCCTAGATATTCGCAGCCACGCAGGCACGGCATCGACAGCGGCGGCAGCAGCGGCGGCAGCAGCGGCGGCAGCAACGGCCTCGGTGGCTGCTTCATCGGCGGCAGCAGCAGCTCCAGTGCACTTCTCGCCGGCCGGCGTGCTGCGATCACGACCGGCATTGGCTGCGCGCTGAGCTCGGGCGCACCCGCGGCCGCCGCCCGCAAGCCATCGCCGCCGCAGCCTGTCACCGACCGGAACGGTGCGGGCGTCACCGAGACGGCCTGGCTCTCGGCTGACCACTCGCGCGCGGAGCTCGTGCTCGGCCTGGACGGCGAGCCCTACTTCCTGCTGACCGAGACTGTCCGGCCGGCCGCCGGCTCGGAGGGCGAGGCTGCGCCTCCGACCCGCCGACTCCTCGAGTACGCAATCAAGGCGGAGTGCACGCACCTGGGCTGCCTCGTGCAGGAGGACGTGGCGCTGCTGGCCGGGCCGGGCGGGTTTGCGTGCCCGTGCCACGGCTCAAAGTACGACGCGACCGGAGCCGTCACGCGCGGCCCCGCCCCCGCCCCCCTTGGCATCGCCCGCGTGACCGCCCGCGAGCCCGACGGCGCGCTGCTGATGAGCGCGTGGGAGGGAGACGACCCGCGACGGAGGGCTGCCGCGGGCGGCGGGGCGCAGCCGCTCGCGCTCGCGCCGCCCGCTCCGGGGGTCCGCCGCGAGGGGAGGCCGCTGCAGCTGCACGCCTCCGCTCCGCGCCGCGCGCCGCCGCCCGTCGCGCGGGCGGGCAGCCGAGTCACGGTCGAGGTGGACTTGGGCAGGGAGGGGGAGCCGGCGGGGCTGCAAAAGCTCAGCTTCTCGCCGAAGCTCGACCGCTCCGACTTTGTGCTTCTCGAGCTCGCCCTCCCGCTCGGCATGCTCATCGAGGAGACGGCGGACGGAGACATCGTCGTCAACGGGGCGATGCCGGGCTACAGCGCCGCCGGAGGGTGCCCAGAGAGAGGGGAGCAGCGCCCGCCTCGCACACGTCGCGCCTCCTCACACCTCCAGCCCCGCCACCACTCTCTTGACGCCTCCCGCCCGGAGCAGGTACGAGGAGCCAGACCGCGTGCTGCCGGGCGACATCGTGCGCGCCGTCACCGCGTACCGGCAGATCCTGGCGGGAGCACCAATGTGGCAGCAGGCGCCGCAACCACGCAACCGCCGCCCCCGGCCACCGACCCGCTGCCCACAGCGCCACTGCCCACTGCCCACAGCCGCTGCCCACAGCCCGCCGCCCACAGCCCGCCGCCCGCCGGCCCACCCCCCGACCCGCTGCGCGCAGCTGGCCTCGTACACCCCCGTGGGCAAGCTCGAGACCAAGCGGCTCATCTTTCGGACCGAGGGCGCCACCTTTGCGGACGTGCGCGGCGCCATCGCCTCGCACCGCGAGGACGACGGCGGCAATGGAGTCGTGACGCTGGTGCTCGAGCGGGCGGTCAGCGCGAGCACGCCGCTCAACCAGACGCGCGACACCGAGCCGCCGAGGCTCGAGCCGCTCTCCGACGTCATCCTGCGCGACCTCAAGAAGAAGCGCGTGGAGGACGACCTGACCAAGCAGGTGGAGGGCATGTCCGCGGCGGAGCGCACACAGAGGCTGCTCGACCTCGGCTTCGACGTACCACCGCCGGACCCGGAGGAGTAGAAAGGCAGGTAGTCGTAGTGACTAGTAGTGAACTCTCGAGAGTACTAGGATGATGTCGTTTTGGCGGAGCGTGTGAGACGTTCGTCGTCTACGTCTCCCGTCCTTCGATGAGTTCAGAAGCGAGAAGAAAACCCGTCGTCCACCCAGCACTTTGGAGTGCAGTTGGTAAGGCTCGATGGTAAGGCGTAAGCGCACCCGCCCCGCGCACGCCCAGATCCCACAGAAGGGGGGCCGCGGGGAGCTCGTAAAAGCAAAACGAGGATAAATCAAAAAAGAATTCTATCATATGAGCCCCTCTCACAGCAGGCCGACTGCACGCTAAAGGCTACACGCTCGCACACCACTTGCAGAGTGGCTCTCCCAGGCGCTCACCCCACCCGGAGGCACGCCAGGCCCCGGGCAGCCGGCCGTCACTCGCCTAACCCTAAGCGCCTAAGCGGCCTAAGCGGGGGGTGCTTAGGGTGCTTAGGCGCTTAGGCGGCCCTTGCGAGCGTGGCGGCGTCGTAATACAAGTGACTCCGATGGCAATCATGATGCCCCTGCTAGTGTCATCGCTCAGAGAGTAGCCTCACGCACGTCCACTGTCTACCACTGGCCCTGGTCGCACACTGCCACTGAGCTGCGCGGTCGCAGGCTGGTGCGGGAACTCAGCATCAGGTCGATTCGAGGAAGATCGCGGAAGGTCGAGTCGAGGAAGAGAACAAGATCAGGGGCGGGTCCGGTAGACCGGTCCGCGGCGCCATATGCGTGGCAAAGGACGCGAAAGGTACAAGTGATCGAAGAAAGAGTGGACCTGAGTAACAACATGCCGCGTCCCGTGCCCGAGTTCATTTTATCAAACAACATGACGGTTCCAAATGATGGGAGTGGGCGTCAGAAGAGTTGTTCTCGCGAGAGGTGAGCTTGATAAACTCGAGGGGCCAAAATACGCCGCGAGGAGAGCGGAACTGCGCCGAGAGGCAGGAGAAGCCGCGAGAGCAAGGGACCGACAGGCGGCGGTGGCGCTGCAGAACGAGGCAGAGGAGAGCGGCGCGACAGAGGAAGAAGCGACAGGAGGGAGAACGACGAGAGTACAGTAGGAAGACCGCGGGGTGGCATGAGGGTTGCAGCGAGAATCGGCGACAGACTGCGAAGAGAGATAGGAAGAGGCAGACGCCCAAGGGTGGGCGACGGCTAGCACCACACTCCCCTCTCCTTAAAAAATCCCTGTGTGGTGGCGGTGTACCGTCCTCCCATCCCTCCCTTGATTGTCTGTTTTCTTTCTTCTCAGGATGTGTGTGGCAGCCACGTTGGCTGAGCGGTGTCTTGTCTTGTGGTTCTGTGCGTCGCTCCTGTGTGACCGTCATCGCCCGTCCTGCGTCCACCCATACCGCGTTGGTGTCCCAATCAATCTATCAAAGCTACTCGAGTACTTGGCGCACGGTACTCGAGCACGAGGTCTCGCGGTTTATACTCACATGATATGACTATCATGCAACAGTACAACATGGGTCCACGCCCCGGCCGGGCGCCAGACAGACCTCTGCCGGCACCCCACACGCGCCCTCCGCGCCCTCCGCGCCCCACACACCGAGCGGGGCGCACGCCGCCCGATCGCCGCCGCCGCTGCACGCCCCCCCACGCCCAGGCACCGGCGCCTACTCGTCATCGCCGTCCGAGCCAGCGCAATCGGACAAGTCGAGGCCGTTGAATCGTGCCTCGCGTGCCAGCCCCTGCAGCCGGTTGAACTCCTTGTAGAAGCGGCGGAACTGCGCGCCCGAACGCGTGGGGGCCACTTTGCTGGCCTCCCAGTTGGTCGGCGGCACACCCTCACTCGCAGCCGCCTTTGTATGCTTGCGGGTGTTCGTCAGTCCGCTCTTACACGGACACGGCTCAGTGCCGCTTCAATCTGATGCGGCCGGGATATCAATTCGCAAAGATCGTTTCGCTGCGACTGACATGGACGCCCAAGTGATGCACTCGGAACGGGCTGGGGGCCAGTCCTGCGACGGCAGCTTCAGCCTCATCACGCGAACTTTTTCGTGTGCTTGTTATCGTCATCCGAGTGAACTTTTTCGTGTGCTTGTTATCGTCATCCGAGTAGGTGTATGCAAACCCGCCGAAGAACAGTTGAGGACCGAGTCGAACTCGAGCTGTGCACATATTGCAGGGTGAGGTCGAGGACTGCAAGATCTGCCGGCCGGCTCAGGTCACGCGGATCACAGAGGGGCCGGGCATGTCCTTCCACCGCAGGGTGCTGCTGACCAAAGAGGAGCACGGCGCGCTCAAGGACTACCAGCTCCTGCCGCGGCTGTCTCGCCTCCTCGCCCGCCGCAAGCATTGCAGATTTGATCGATACGCATTTTGCCTCCGCCGGAATCTGGAACGCTGCCCGGCTCGCGCGCGGAATCGTGACTGGTGCAACCTCGGAGAGCTCCAAATACGCCGGCCTCGCGCCGACTCCGCCGCTGGGCCACACTATGTCGAGGTCGGCACTGCACAGCTCACTCGACGCAAACGGACCGAGAGACAAGAGCGGCTCGCGCCGCGGCGGTGGCAGTGGAGGCGCGCCCGCCGCAGCCACGGCCGCTTGCCGCTCCGCCTCCTCCGCGGTCGCCTTCTCCACTGCCGCCCTCGCCGCCACCGCCGCCGTGGCAGCCTCCTGCGCCTGCACGCGCTGAGTCTGCTCAAGCTTCAGCTCTCGCAAAGCCTCCACTACCCACGTCCCTGGCGGAGCGACACCGCGCTCAATCGCATCGGCATACGCAGCGCAGCTGTCAGGTTCAGCCAGCACGGCTCGAGCCTCGACCAGCCGCTTTGCTGCAGCATCGCATCCGGCGCGGTTCTCGACTACTGGCCTGAGGTCATGCTCGGAGAGGAAGCGGAGAAGGCCGACGTGGCCTTTGTGACGCCTTAGTCACGCCAATCCTTCATTCCTTCCTGGATTGGTTTCGCCTCGTTGCTCAGAGCAGCAATGGTTTTGATGCTGGCCATGACGCCGTCGAAGAACTTTTCGTGCATTTGCTTGGGCCGAAGCGCAATCTGATATTCGCAAAGGTTGATCGCGTCACTCAGTTTCGCGAAACGACCCTTCAGAAACCTTCGCTCGAACGACCCTTCAAAAACCCTCGCTAGAAACTCTTCGTCGTGCTCTGCCTTTTGTTCAAGGAGATCAGCCGCTCTGTTGAAGCACTTGAGCGCCGCGTCCCAGTCCTTCTCATCGAGGAGCACCCTGCCCGCCTTGTACGACGCAGGCACGGACGCCGGGGTCCCCGGGGGCACGTCGATCATGTCTTCGTCACTGATGGTCCGGACTCCCATGTTTTCGAGAGTGGACACCGGCAGGGAGTGGAGAACGATTTCTGACGCCTCCGCCTCTGCCGTTGCCTTGGCCTCCGCCTCTGCCGTTGCCTTGGCCTCCGCCTCCATCCGGTGTGCAGCCCGTCGTGCCTGCACCTTCCCCAGCTCTTGAAGGGCGTCCTTTTCCCACGGGCCCTTAGGAGCAGCACCGCGCGCGCGCTCAATCTCATCGACATGCTCAGCGCAGCGGAACGGGTCTTTGAGCACATCGCGAGCCTCGTTGAGCCGCTTCGATGCTGCTAAGCAGCCCGCCTCCACCTCCACCTCCACCTCCACTTCCACCTCCGCCGCCGCCTCCGCCGCCGCCTCCGCCGCCGCCTCCGCCTCCGCCTCCGCCTCCGCCTCCGCCTCCTCCGCCTCCGCCTCCGCCGCCGCCGCCCCCTCTGCCTCCGCCGCCGCCGCCCCCTCTGCCGCCGCCGCCGCCGCCGCCGCCGCCGCCGCCTCCGCGACTGCTGCCTCTGTCGCAGGCGGCGGGCCGCGGGAAGTTGGGCGATTCCACCACCACCAGCACGGCGTCACTGCCGCCTCCGCCTCCGCGACTGCTGCCTCTGTCGCAGGCGGCGGGCCGCGGGAAGTTGGGCGATTCCACCACCACCAGCACGGCGTCACTGCCTCCGCCGCCGCCGCCTCCGCCGCCGCTGCCTCCGGTGCCTCCGCTGCCTCCGCTGCCTCTGCCGCCGTTGCCTCCGCCGCCGCCGCCTCTGCCACTGCCTCCGTCGCCTCTGCGAGCAGCTCTGCGTCCGTCAGACGGTGCTTGTCCGGGTGAACAGCCCGAATACGTTTGAGGTAGGCGCGCTTCAACTCAGAAGCGTCCACAACCCGGTTCACCGACAGGCCGAGCGCCTCAAAATGGTTCGGCGCGAACACGACCTCGCGAATGGCCAGAGGGAACTCGTTGCGAACGGCCAGAGGGACTTCGTTCATCTCGGCCTTCGAGACGGAAGGGCGCTGCTCGCCGAGGGCGCACGAGACGATGCTGAACTCCTCCCCGAGCCTTTTGCTCTGGTGCAAGTCAATCAGCTTGAGAGCATACGGCAGGTCGAGCTGCAGCGCGACGACGATCGAGCCCTCCTCCACCCAGAGCACCTCGATCGCCTCGGCCGCGACGCGGTGCGGCCGCAACGCACGCTTTACATGCATGGTAATCTCGCCGCTGGCGGCCTCCTTATCGGCAGCGGAAAAGTCGGAGCCCTCGCTGCCGCTCGCACTGGCGGACTCCGAAGAGCTCGACTCGTAGCTCAGGTAGCCCTGCTCGTCGACCTCGACGCGGACGAAGAAGCTCGGGCTCGTCTGCACCTCGTGCTGCCGACGGCCGCCTTGCTTGACCAGTCTGACTTTGAACTGGTCGTCAGGCCGCATTTCAAGCTTCTCGGCGAGCCTCGCCTTGAACGCTCTGCTGTCGAAGGGCGGCGGACCGGTTAAGCTGCCCTCGAGGGTGATGGTGAGAATGGTGGAGACCAGTGAGCTGCTCTCAGACGAGGAGGCATCGGTGTCAGTGGCTGATCTGGCCTTGCCGGAAGCTGCCAATTTTGTGTTGCCGACGCTGGCGGAGGGCGTCGGGACGCCAGTGGCGGGCCGTGCCATTTCGAGGAAGGGGTTGGCCGGCACAACGCGGGGGGGCGTCAGCGTCGGAGCCGCTGATGCCGCAGACGAGGAAGCTGCAGAGTATCGCTTCAGCTGTTCACTCGAGACGGCGTCGAGGTGCATGAACGGCTGAGTGGTGAGGCGGCGCTGTCGAACGCGCTGGTATTTTTCCTCCGCTTGGCTACGCTGGAGCACCGCTAGCTCAAGCTGCTGCTTCGCCTCGAACTCTTGGTCGGACTGCATCAGCTCTGCTGCTCTGTCCAGCTTGAGCCCCTGCTGCGCAAAGCCCTCGCGAAGCTCCTGTTGGAACTCGGCGTCCGAAAGGCCAGAAGCGACCGCAATGCCACGCACGAACTCGGAGTCCTTCTCGAGAGCGTCCGCGTCGACAGCCTCGCCCATCGCCTCCCGCTCGGCCACCCGCCGCTGCACCTCCGCCTCGACAGCGTACTCGCGCGCCTGCAGCCGGGCGTCGATGTGCGCGTCGCGAGCGAGGTTGTAGAACTTGAGCAGCAGGCCGAGCTGGGCGGTGATCTCCGAGTCGAGCTGCGATAGCGTGCTGCGCCTCCCCACCTTGAGCGCGTGCCGTAGCCAGCCCTTCTTGCCAAAGGCAGCGACTGCCGAGCATGCGTCCTCGAGCAGCCGCTGCAACTCGCGCATCCGGTCCTCTACGCTCGGGCGGCTCTTCGCGTCCATGCGCTCCACGTTTTCAGCCATGAGCTGCAGCAGCTCGAGGACGTCGATCGTGCGCTGCGCAACGGATAGCGCATCACTGATCACAGTTCGCGACGCTTGCACGGCCCGAAGGACACCGCGAGCCGCGCTGCACACAGCCGGAATGAGAGGCAGCCCAGCGCCTTCGCCGAGCTTCAGCACGGAGTCGGCAAGCTTTAGGCCTGTCTCGACCTTTCCGAGCGCCCGCTCCACTGACGCGAGGCGCTCGACGCCTCCCTCCATGTCCAGCTTTCGTTACCAGGGGGGGGCGGGGGGGAGATCGGCGGGCAGGTATACTCCGACACATCGAAAGTGGGAGCGAAAACTCAGCCTTGAGTTCTCAGCGCCCTCACGGCCCGCCGATGGCAAACCCGACTCCCTCCATCCGTGTGGCGCCGCCCGATGGTGCCGGGAACCCTATTCCGGAGCGATTTCCCCTAGGGTTAGCGCCGAGAAAGCCGGGCCCCTTAGCTCCGGCTAGGGCTGCGGGGCCTCCGAAGCCGACCCGAGGAAGGGCCGACTTAAGGGTTAGTATAGCGGGCCGATAAGGCCGCCCACACCCGCGAGGATGGCTGTGTGTTTGCCTCCCCGACTCGGACGGCCGCCTCAGAGGGCGGGAGTGCTTCCTATCGCCCTCTCACCCGCGGGTGATGGCCGAGTCCACGGAGCCGCACGCTGCCTCTCCTTCGACGCAAGGCTCCGACTTCTATAGAGAAAACCCCATCTGCACCAGCGTTTTAAAGTGAAATCGTCAAGAGAAATCGATGCACCGGGCTGGGCTTTGGGGTAGGCAGCCACCTTTTTGAAGGTGAGGCGTATCTGCCGACCTGTGAAGACGCTTTACTTGCGAGCAGTGCGTGGACCAAAGTGTGCCAGATGGCCAAAGTGTGAGATGGGTAAAAAGGAACAGGACCCTGCCAATAAATAGAGCAGTCATCTCCAGGAGAGATGGGCGACGCAAATAAATAAAAACGGACACCTCTACTTAGCGGGGACAAAGCAAGGAGGCGGCTGAGTGTGGCAGAGGCCCTGTGTGTGGCCAGGCCACACCGCACGCTGATGAGTGAGCGGCAAACAGCGACAGCGGCGAGCGCGGGAATAAACAAAACTCCGGAAATGGCGGCGGAGCCCAGGGTGCTGCCGCTGCGCGCGCCGAGTGGCGAGATCCAGTGGACCATCGTGGAGCTGCAGGGCACGCTCGAGGCGAAGGCCGCCTCCCTCGACGGTTTCCACCTCGGCGACCTCTTTGAGCGGCGGGTGAGCGTCCCGAGCCGGCCGCCGAGGCCGCGCCGCCTCCCCGCTCCTCCACGGTTGCTGACGGATCCCCCGCTCGCAGGGCGCTGTGTGGCTCCGGATCGGCAAGGGCGAAATGCCGGGAGAGAGGGTTCGGCTAAAGAAGCCGCTCGCCATCATGTCCAAGGTGCGGCCCGATGGGGACGTGCCGAGCCCGGGGGGCTCGCCGCCGGCGTGCGAGTACCATGCGGTCGGCGTCGTCCGAGAGAAGCTCGTCTTCAACACGCGGCCGACCCCGATCTCGCGCCTGGCAGCGCAGCAGCAGCAGCAGCAGCAGCAGCAGCAGCAGCAGCAGCAGCAGCAGCAGCAGCAGCAGCAGCAGCAGCAGCAGCAACAAGCCGCTGCGACCAAACGCCTGCGATCATGAAGAAGCTGCATCCAGTGTTACGTTGTGGTTGCGTGCGCCACCGTATGCCCGCGAAATCTTTGACGTGCCCTTGACTGTCTCGAGGTGATGTGTCTCGCTCGCCCTCTCTTTTTCCCTCTTCCCCTCCACCCTCTTCGTCCGCTTCTGGTCTCGTTTCTGTTTCTCCACCACGTGGGCACGTGCCGCGGGGGGCGCGGCGGGCGGGGGGGTGCGGTGGGTCTCTGCTCGTCTCTCACTGACGGTGTGTCTCGATAAGAGCCGTAGCTCGCATCAGTGTATTAGAGCCCACTGTGTACCTCACCCGCGGCCGCGACGTCAAGGACCGCGGGCCCGCGGGGCGCGGGGGGGAGCGAAGCCGAAGAGACTAGAGAGGAGAGACTGACGCCCAGACACACACACACGGTGATTCTCACACGACACCGACACGCACGCACGCGCCCGCACGGACGGAGCGGGCCGGCAGGACTCAGAGACCTCGCCGGTCCCTTTCCGCCCCTCCCGCGGCCTCCATGACCGACCGAGCCTCCGGCGCCAGAGGGCTGGGAGGGTGGTGAGGGTGGGGCCCCGGCCTCCCTCTGTGGCTGTGGGTCGAGTTTGCCCGGCCCTGCCTCTGCCGCATCGCCTTGAGCTTCTCTCGGTGCGGGTGCGGCGGCGGGTGCGCCAGAGGAGCGGCGGACACGCCCACCGCCGTCGAGCCCGCCTGCGGCTGCCGCCCCGCCACGAACGCCGTGCCCGCGCCCCCCAGCAGCAGCACAGCGCTGCCGACGGCGGCGGTGCGGCGCGCGGCAGGCGACTGGAGGGCGGAATGCAGCCAAATGTCGGTGCCGTCTGGCCGCGGCGGCGCCTGCTTATAGGCGGTCGCGCCGGCAAGGCAGACGAGCAGGCAAGCGATGCCGACGGGAGAGGCGTGCCTGCAACCGTTGGCCGACAGGTTGGTCTTCGATGCCCCGCGCCGAAGCGATGCCCGGGCGAGGCGATGCTGGAGCACGCTCGGCGCATCTCGGCGCATCTCGGCTAGTCTCGCGCTTGTCCCACAGCAGCAAGTTTGCGAGCACGGTCAGCATCTTGTTTGCGACGCCGAGCACCTCCGCCGAGAGGAGTCGAGATGAGCCGAGATTGGCCGAGAGAAGAGCCTCTCGCCTGCGGGCGGAGCACCGTGTAGCAAGTGGCGGTAACGAGCGAGCGGCAGTACCAGCCGAAGAAGGAGATGGCGGTGCCTGTGGGACGTGTCGCGGACGTGTCACGGGTGTGCGGTGCGGGACGGTCCTCACGAGCCAGGGAGGAGGAGAGTGGCGCCGATGATGCACGAGACGGCGAGGAGGAGCAGGGTGCTGCCTGTTCAGAAGCGCGGCGGTGGAGAGGCTGTCTGCACGCGAGGGGCGAGGGGGCAGGAGGAGGAGGCGGGTGCCGCTCCAGACGGCGCTGTCTGCACGCGACGCCTCGCTCGAGAGGAGACCTACGCAACCACCCGCCTGGCTTCCTCTCACGCTCAGAGGGGGGGGGACGGGGCGGCCGCAATGGCGAGCGCCCACGGCGAGCATCGGCAGCACGGCGAGCGCGTTTGTATATATTGTCGGCCCCCAAAGCGACTTGAACTTGAGGTGCGGGCCCACGATGTGCTTGCCTGGGGAGGGAGAGGGGTCGCGAGGCGCGAGGGAGGCGCGAGGGAGGCGCGGCGGTGTTGGGTCGAGGAGAGGTACCGTAGGCCATCTCGACCGAGATGATGAAGAAGTAGGCGGTCGCCCACGAGTACGCGTTCCACCCGTTGAGCTTGAAGGCCGCGTCGGAGAGGACGTACCCCGCCGCGCCGGCGACCAGGACGAGCAGCGCGCCGGTCGACGCCGGCGAGGGCAGCTGGCGGCCGAGGAAGAGGTAGTCGAGCTGCGAGACGACGAGGGGGACGCAGGAGCGGAAGACTATGATCGTCTCGATGTTCGAGTACTGCAGCGCCTGTGGCGCGAGGGGAGCATGTGAGCGGCTGTGTGGGCTGGGCCCTGCTCGGGCGGCGGCGGCCTTCATGTTGCAATAGATGGTGCACACAAACATGATGGTGTAGTAGAGGTAAGGCTTGACCTTCTCCCACTCGAATCCGTCCACCTCGGCCGCTCCGGTGATTCGCAGCCCCAGTATGAAGATGGTGCACACAGCAAACTGTGCGGTCGAGACAAACGACGGCATTGGTATGTAGTGGATGACGAGCTTGTTGATGAGAAGCAGAGAGCTTGAGCAAGCCGAGAAGGCGAGCATCGCGAACATCGCTTCGGCCGAGTGGCCCTCCTCCTTTGGCATCGTCGTTCGAGTGAGTCAACGAGGCGCTTACCGCGCTTACCTCAGCGGCCGGCAAAAAAGATTTTGGTGTGCCTTATCCCTCGTTTGAGGTGTCTGTTTTCTTTCTTTCTTTCTTCGGCCTCCCTTGGGTTGTCTGTTTTCTTTCTTTCTTTCTTCGGCCTCCCTTGGGTTGTCTGTTTTCTTTCTTTCTTTCTTTTAGAAGCGACAAGAGAGAGAACGACGAGAGTGGGGACGACCGCGTGGGGTGGCATGAAGGTTGCAGCGAGAATCGGCGAGAGACTGCGAAGAGAGATAGGAAGAGGACGGAGGCGGACGCCCAAGGGTGGCTGGGCGACGGCTAGCGCATCACACCCCTCTCGGCCTCTCCCTAAAATCCCTGTGTAGTGGCGGCGTGCCGTCCTCCCATCCCTCCCTTGGGCGTTGTCTGTGTTCTCTCTTTCTTTCTTTAACCTCAGATAAGCCTAGATGTTAAAAGCCTGTATCTCCCGGTCCTTGTGTTGTGCTGTTGTGTCCGGTGCGCCGCCGCGGTGGTCCGTGCAGAGAGAGATGTTTTTCTCCGTGCACCGTGGGGTCTCTAGTTTTAAGATATGAGGATTCCAAGGCAAAAATCCGGGTGTACGGATGGTAGGCGATTCGACACTTCAAGGCGAACTCCCCCCCCTTCCAGGCCCCGGGCCCTCCATTGGTAGGTAGCGACCCCAGGTTAAGAGCTAGGCTTCCCGACACGCGACAGGGCAGGGAACCCCCAGCGCGCAGGCGGGGCCCACGGTAGCCTCGTCCCTCGTGCAGTACGCGATACCGAGAGCTGGGGGAGAGGCGCGCCACGCCAAAGGGGTGCCCAAAAAGGGGTACGGGGAAGGGGGGGGAGAGTAGCGTGTTTTTCGCCAAAACGCAAAAAGAAATCCGGGTGTACGTGTATAGTGGCTAGTGGTAGACGCGTAGACCGTAGTGCCGGGGATCTCACAGAGTTCAGAGTTCTAACTTCTAACAGTTCCTAAAGTGTACACAACGAGACGCCGCGTCGCGCGTGCAAAAGATGTTTTCTTTCTTTAAAGAAGGGAAGGCCCCTGCAAGGACCCGGTGCAGCCCGGTGCGCGTCCCGAACCCGCTTATGATCGACGCTTCCCCGCGAGTGTGTGCGTGTCGCGCCCGGCGCCACGCGCCCGCCCTGCGCCGCCCTGACGCCGCCGCCGCGTCTCAGAGGAACCAGCGCAGCAGCCTGCGGTAGTCGACGGGCGCCTCGGGCTCGACGCGCACCACGCGCACCGCGCGGCCGTACCGGCGCTGCAGCTCGGTCGACATCTCGCCGACGCCGTCGACGAGGCCGAGCGCCTGCGCAGAGACATGCCACGGCCGCGTCACGGACGAGTCGCGGGCCTGGCGTCCTCGTCGGCGGCGGGGCGGGGCGCGCCTGCGCGACGGCGCCCGAGTAGACGGACCCGTCGAAGAGCCCGTCCCCTCTCTGTGCCATCCTCGCGAGGGTGCGCCGGCCGGGCGAGGCGAAGAGGCGCGGCTCGGTCGAGTTGTAGCAGAGGAGCGCCGCCTCGTCGCGCTTGAGCCTGCCCTTGCGCCCCGCCTGCACCGCGCCGATGAAGTTGGCGTGCAGCTCTTTGAGCAGCCGCCGCTGCCGCGCCAGGTCGGCGGAGCGCATCGGCAGGTACGGGTCGAGGCCTGGGGAGGGTGTCGGGCGCGGGGTGGCTCGGGAGAGGGATCGCGGACGAGGCACGGGTGCGGGATACGGGTGCGGGGCGGGGCGGGGTGCGGGGTGGGCTGGGCCGGGTGTGGGGTTGTTCAGGTGTGTGTGTGTGTGGGTGGGTGGGTGGGTGGGTGGGTGGGTGTGGAGGTGTGTGGAGGTGTGGGGCCGGGGTCGCTCGCCCGACTTGGAGTCGCCCGCCGCGTGGACTCGCCGCTCGACGCCCTTCTTCTTGAGCGACTTGACGAAGCCGAAGCCGCGCGAGATGACGCCGATCGAGCCGACGATCGAGTTTGCGTCCGCGACGATCTCGTCGGCGGCGCAGGCGATGTAGTAGCCGCCCGACGCCGCCGAGTCCTGCACCGCGGGCGGTCGACTCGAGGGCGACGCGAGCCGTGTGCGTCTCGAGGGCGTCTCGGCGCGGGGCAGCTCGGACGGTGCGGCGGGGTGTGGTTGGGCGGTGTGTGTGGGCGGTGTGGTTGGGCGGTGTGGTTGGGCGGTGTGTGTGGGCGGTGTGTGTGGGCGGTGTGTGGTTGGGCGGTGTGGTTGGGCGGTGTGTGTGGGCGGTGTGTGGTTGGGCGGTGTGTGTGGGCGGTGTGTGTGGTTGGGCGGTGTGTTTCTGTGTGTGTGGGCGGTGTGTGTGGTTGGGCGGTGTGTGTGGGCGGTGTGTGTGGTTGGGCGGTGTGTGTGGGCGGTGTGTGTGGTTGGGCGGTGTGTTTCTGTGTGTCGAAGGCGGTGTGTCTCGAGGGCGTGTCGAGGGGCGGGTGGGGCTGTCTGGGCGGCGTCTCTCGCCTCGACAAACGCGAGCAGCTTGACGCGAGGGTGGCGGCGGCGCAGCGCGAGCAGCTTGCGGTGCAGGAGCGACGACTGCGCGGGCGACCCTCCTGGCGAGTCAATCAGAAGAGCGACGGCTCGCGCGCCGGGCATGGAGAAGGCCCTGTCCAGCGCCTTTTCGAAGCGGCCCAGGTTGACGAGGCTCTCGCCGCGCACCTCGGCCGGCGCCTACAGCCGAGGCCCGACCAGCTCCGCCCAGCTTGCCGAGGCGCCCTCCGCGCGCCTCTCTCCGGCGCAGCGACCGCTTCGGGCGCGAGCATCGCGTAGGAGAGGCCGGTCCGCATCTCGTCGTCGGTGGCGATGAGGCCGCGCATCGTCACGAGCGTCACCGTCGGGGGGAAGTGCAGCGTCCGCACGAAGAGCGTCCGGACGGCGCCGACGCTCCACCGGCCGAGCGCAGTCACCAGCCAGCTCAGGCGCTCGTACACGACCCAGTTGGAGCTGAGCGCGATGAGGACCGCGGCCACCGCGCCGGCGGTGCCGTTGATGGCGGGCAGCGGGACCGGGTAGGCCGGCGACCGCTGCGGCGGGGCGGGGCGGCGGAGCGGGCCCGGCCGGCGTGGCGGCAGCGGCGGCTGCTGCTGCTGCTGCTGCCGATCAGCGCGCAGCCGAGAGAGCAGTGGCACTGCGGGCCGGCCGGCCGCGGCGGACGCGCAATAGAGCAGCAGCAGCGCGGCGACGCGAGCGACGCGAGGCATCGGCGGCGGTGAGGTTCGCGCCGGCTAATAGGGGCCACACCGCAAGCCTGATGCGGGCATTAAAAAGAATTGTACTTGGCGGCGTGCCGTCTTCCCCTCCCTCCCTTGGGTTGTCCGTGTTCTTTCTTTCTTTTTAAGGCGTGTGGCAAAGTGGAAGACCCGCCCGCCCGCCCGCCCGGCAAACCCCGGAAAGTGGGTCAAAAATGACCACCGACACGTGTGGGCGCGTATCTTAGCTAAGGCTCGAAGGCCCCCACACGTGGGGGGTCCGGGGGGGCACCATGATCGTCCGCCAAGGGTCCGGGGTCGCCCAGACAAGTGGCCCAAATCCGATGAGTTTTCCAGGTGTGAACAGCAGCTGAGAGGTGTGAATTCATCCCAGGCAGGGTGCGGGGCGGTAGCCCCGCAGAGAAAATTTTGCGTGGGCACTGAGATCGCAGTTTTCGTTAGTCCACGGCGGATGCCAGCGGCAGCTGTTTTGAAGATACGCGGTGGGCATTTGAGCATGAATCAGCGACCTGTCTGCTCCCTTCCCCCTAAGAGAAGCCGAGAGGCACGAGGTCCTCCAATTCGTGCCGGATCAGCAGCGCGGTCTGGAGCGTGGTTGTGGCGTATGCATTTGCCCCAGCAGTCTGAATGGACCAACGCCCGAGCTCATACTGCGCTCTGTGCAGCCTTTTCAAGCAGTGAACGCGTTCGGCGAAGTTGCGCCACCACTATCGTTGTCGTTCCTGCCACGCACACCGAGCGTTGAATAAAGACACACTCGATCGGTCACACCGCCATCGCCGTCGGGGAGAGAGGGGACGACACTGCTTCGGCAGCGTGCACCTCGATCCTGCACCGTGTTTGTTATGACCCCCCCCAATGAACACACCAGTGAGGGAGGGCGAGACGATCGAGGGGTCCCGTACCATGCGGAATCGACCCTACAGTTCCGGACGGGCATTAAGAACGCACAGGAATTTCGCCCAGCCTCAGGTTCTTAGCTAAGTTTGCGGTCCGTCGGGGGCCGAGCCTCAGGTTCTTAACCGGGTGGATGGTTTTTTAAACCGTTTCGGCTTCGATTAAAATTCAACACGCACTGGGTTCAAAACAGTTTGGAAGTTTGGAACAGTAAGTTCGCATGGCGTGACAAGAGAGTCATTCGCTGCCGTGAGCTGCCCCTGCGGCTGCGGCCGCGATATCGCGATATGTTGGACTGTTGCGCGCTCGCGCGTCGTTTCGTTGTTTGTGTGAACCTTGTATGTGTGTTGCATGGGATGCCGCGCTCGCGAGTCTCGGTCACATCGATGGTTGTAGTATAGAACCCAGCATCGCCCAGCCTCAGGTTCTTAGGGAGTTCTTAGGGATCCGGCCGAAATATCAGCCTCAGGTTCTTAACGTTAGAGGTTCTTAATGCCCGTCCGGAACTGTATCAAGTGCTCAAGTGCTCACACACCGGCTTGAGCGGCCGTGGGTTGCAAGGCACACCGTAGTCGTTCGCAGGGCGCAACAACTAGCGATAGCGCAATATTTGCCAGGATCTTCAGCCGTGGGATCGCTGTGGGTCGACTGGGATGGCTTGCCTGCCTTCTCTGATTGGCATGCGAGGACGATAAGCTGTCGTCGAGGAGCAGGATTGCTGGTTGCTCGTCGTCACTCGATGCGTGGCTGGACGTGTAGCCCTGACCCGGCAAGCTGTCGTTATCGGACTCTTGCCCAGGCGACTCGACAGGAGGACTTATGAGCCCAGCTATCATGTTTTGCGGCGCTTCGGACGACGGTGAACGCTTCGCGGGCTTTCACTCTGCTCAGAGGGGTGGTTGACGGGTTGAGGGTTGAGGCCCCCCCTCAACCATCTGGTTGACGGTTGAGACCCCCCGTCAACCCTTTAGTTGGGGGTTGAGGCCTCCGGGGCGTATTCACAGGCTCGCGCGTGATCACAAGATTGGAACAGCCCTGCCGCCAAAAAAATCGCTTCGCCTGCGGCGCGCTCTTGCGGTCCTCGTACCTTGAGCGCAATCCATAAGTAGGAGACGCTCACTGTCGCCATTCAGGCGCCTGATCCTTCAGCAAAGCGATGGCCTACCAGGTACGAGTTCAGATGCGCGCCCGGCAGAAGACGCTTGTGATGCCGCATGCATGCAGTGGAATGCGCACAGAGAACGGACGGCAAGAGAAGGCAAGGGAAGGAAGATAAACGGCTGGTGAAGCTCAGCTCACGGCGTAGTATTGCGGTCACTAACCATTCACGGCAAGAGTCACGGTGAATGCTGCCGCATAAAAGCAACAGAGTCGCGGTTGGCGCGATGGTCTTGTCGCGGTTATATAACGACTTGACGTTGCACACGGCCATAGACGCAGTATCTGTTTGGCGAGCCTCAAGCAGCGAAAGCAGGCGCGAGAAATTAATGTCAATCCTGAGATCTCAATTTTGGCGCTAGTTTCGTTTTCTGGTACATCATGACGACTTGGGTCTCATGTAGCTCTCGACGGCTCTTCGACGGCTCTTTCTGGTTGGATCAGACAGTGCTATCAGTCAATAACACAATGCCGAGAGCAGGGCGGCCTTCGAGCAGGGCGGCCTTCGAGGCAACTAAGTTCCTGCTGCATTTTTCATCGTACAACTTGATGGCGGGCGGACGTGTCGAGCATGGATCGAGAGCATGGAAGGCGGCCATTGCTCAAACCTGTTCGAGTTGGCCTCCGGGAACAAGGGTGGGTGGCCGGCGCGGTCTGTTTCACGTGCAATAAGGGCAACGCCATCAAAATCGCGAACATGGGCCGACATGCCTCCGACATTTCTCAGGGCTCGGACGGAAGCTCTGCAGACAGCCAGACCGCTCTGCGCGGTCGGACCGACTTTTTCAGACTTTGCTATTCTGGATACTGAGGGTATGTGCTGCTAGATCTCACTGAGCTGAGCTCGTATCTGGCTTTGGTAAGCAGTTTTGAGTTCGGTAATGTCTCCGGAGACGGAGGGCCGCGTCCGCGGACGACCATGACGTCGGCCGGGATCCCCCCGTGCGGGGGCCTTCGACGCGCCGTTTTTACGATACTTGCTTCAGCTACGTGCGTGAATGGGAGGTGTGATGCAGCATCCAGGCGTTAAAGAAGACGACATGGATGGTTCACAGAGAATGTGTGTTCAGACCTTTGCGCGGGGGGTGTGAACAGCCATTCCGCGTGGTTGAGGGGTTGAAGGGGTCTGTCAACCACTTGGTTGAGGGTTGAGGCCTCTGTCAACCACGTGGTTGACAGTTGAGGCAATCGGCCTCAACCACCGCTCTGAGTAGATTTCACGATTGGCCAAATTCTTCTATCCGCTAATTGTAGTTGGTGCGCGTGATTTTCTGTGCTCCGCGGTAGCGTTCGGCTCTTCGCTTCTTGAATTCATAGGGAGTTTTCTTGTAAAATTCTTTCATACCGAGAACAAACATCGCGCCACAGCAGTTACGCGTGCAACCCTCGGCAGCTGCAACGAGTGCGGTGCTCGGCGTGCTCTCGCCTACAGTGCTAACTGACGCAGTATGGCTGCAGGGACAAGCACGGAGGCGATGATGACCGAGCATCCAGCGTTTGCCGCACTGCCTGTGCCGTGCAACGCTGCATTCCAAGAGCACAGCGGGGCCGGAAGCGAGCAAGTGCATGCAGTGTTTGGTTCCGGTGTGCAGTGCTTTGGTCCAGTCATCTACCAGGCCCTCTGCACATCAATGCTTGGTGGTGCGGCCGCGTGCAGCAGATGCTCTGCAAGTCGGGCGGCAAGAGGGGGACCTCTGTGCGGACCTATCTCCCCGTGCCGTTCGACGAGGCTAAGGCAGCCAACTATAAGATCCACTGCAACTTCTACGCCAAGTCGGGCGCGGACGGCGTCTACACCTTCAAGTACAACGTCGACGATTCCGCCCCGTACCACATGGAGTCGGTGCTCGGCCTCCTCGACCTCAACCTCCCCTCCGACGAAGGAGTCTACGTGCCACGTGATCAACAGGCCGGCTGGAAGTTTGACGAGGCGCTTAAACTGATCACACCGGCCGCGTACTCTGCTCCCCAACGCAAGCGGGCGCGGAGTACCGCCGACGACGAGGCTGGCGGCTCCTCTGGCGCGAAGAAGCGCGCCCTGACAGTGACGCTCAAACGCAAGGGCGGGACGCTTGGAATCTCTGTCGACCCCAACAACCACCAAATCACCAACGTGGTCGAGGGTGGCGCTGGCGACACCGCCGGTCTTTGCGTTGGCGACTTCATCACCTAGGTCAACGGCAAGTCGACGACCGGCGGCTCCTTTGGCAAGCTGCTGCCTGCTGCAGCGACGGCGGAGATTAGGCTGCGGCTCATCCGAGTGCAGGTGGTTGATCCCGGCCATCTACACCTCCCACTACGAGCATAAGTATCTTCCCTCCCCCTCGCACACAGGATTGACACTGCTCTCGGCACTCGCTTCCTCCTCGCCGCCGCGAGAGGACCAGGCGTGCCCGCGCGCCGCGGGGGCTCTGCAGACAGCCAGACGGCTCCGCGTGGGGCTCTCCTGCTCCTGACAAGGGACACGACAGGCTTGCAGCGCGGTGCACGGTGGACTCCCAACTCCACTGGCGGTCTCATCTCAGTCTAGCGACCTGCCTCCAGCTTCTCACTGACAGTCTCTCGCAACCACAGGCACACTGACACAGGGGTGGCAGGGGCAGCGGCAGGAGTCTCCCACATACTATGCGGGCCTCACTAGAGGTGCATCCTGTGGTGGAAGAGGTCTTGAGGGGGAAGGGAAGGGGCTGTTTGTGTCTGTGCATGCATGTGTGTGTGTGTGTGTGCGTGCGTGTGTGTGTGTGTGTGTGTGTGTGTGTGTGTGTGTGTGTGTGTGTGTGTGTGTGTGTGTGTGTGTGTGTGTGCGCGTGCGTGCGTGCGTGTGCGTGTGCGTGTGTGCGTGTGTGCGTGTGTGGGCGCTGTACACACACACACAGAGAGAGAGAGAGAGAGAGAGAGAGAGGGAGGGAGGGAGCGAGAGAGAGAGGGAGGGAGAGAGGGAGCGACGGAGGGAGGGAATGAGGGAGGGAGGGAGAGAGAGAGAGAGAGAGAGAGAGAGAGAGAGAGAGAG